TAGTTATGGTTCAATATGATATAGTATATGTAGATATATTTTTTAATTAATTATTAAGAGCTAATTTATAATTATTTCTTACAATATTACTATTAAGACATAATTATAAATACAGTACTATATCATTGATTTAAAATTTTTAAAAAACTAATTAATTGTATTTTCAATTAATTATCATAATTAAAAAGTTATATATATTTATTCATTTCTTTATTTTTAAATTTTTGTAAAAATGAATATTAATTTTAGAAAACATTGAGTATTGAGAAATTAAGTTTGGAATATTTTTAGTAGTTAATTTATAGATAATTTAGTGAAAACTTATTGAGAATTTATAGGGAATTAATAGGGAATTAATGGGAATATAGTGGGAATTTATAGGGAATTTAGTGGAATTTTAGTGAAAATTTATTGGGAATTTAATGGGAATTTAGTGGGAATTTAGTGGGAATTTATTGGGAATTTATTGGGAATTTACTCAAATTTGGCAAAAATTGTCGTTTAAAAATGCAATAAAAATGTTCACCCCACCCTATACCCCCCTAGCTTTTTCGAGATTTTTGCCATTTTACCCTACCCTATACCCCCCCCCTGAAATCGAAAACCTTTAGCAACCCTGATATATAATATATCTTTTATATACAGTATATACTGTTTATATATATATAATAAAGTAATATTATAGTACACAAAATGTAAATATAATTAGTGGATAAAAATCAATTATACAATACTTTATTTGATAATACTTATAATAGTTTAGTAAAAATGTTTTGTATGTTTTGTTTTATAATTAGATTAATTAATAATAGTTAATATAATATAATTTTTTAAAATTAAAATTATGGTGTTTGTAATTAAAATGGGAAAATTTATTTTCTACTATTTTTATTTTATTTATATTAAAAAAATAATATATTTAGACATGTACAATTTTGGCTGATTAAAGTCAACAAGTATCTAAACAAGTAATTAAAATATACTTATTTTTAAAACAATATATATATATATATATATATATAAATTATTCATGAAAAAATTTAATTTTGACAAAATAAATAGCTAATAAAATGTAAATTTTAATTTTAAATATAATAAATATTTTTATTAAAAATATCAAAATAATTTAAATACAATTCTAGTTTAAATAATTATTAGAAAACACTAATAATTAAACATTTACTAAAATAGATTTGATAGTATATCACAAAAAAATAATAATAACAATATTATTAATATTAAATTGGATTAAACTAAAAGTACAGTATAAGCAAAAGTTATAGAGAAAAATAAAAAAATAAAATAAAATATATTAATAAAAGTCATATAAAGCATATAATTTATATAATATAAACTGAATATATAATCTCTAAAAAATTTCAAACAAATATTTTGATTTTATTTATTTAATTTGCTAAGCTTAGTGGAAATAAAAGTTTATAAAACTGTAAATAATTGATAAATGTTAGTTGACTTTAATAATAATAATGTAATTTTAAAAAAATATATATATAATTATCATCAAAAAAATATTTTGTTGAAATTAGAAATCTAATAAAACTTGTATATTTTTTAAATGTACTAATATAATATAAATAATTATTAGGAAAAATAACTATAAAATAAAATAAGAAAAATAATAATAATTATATATTTTCTACAGTATTTATTAGTAAATTTAAGTAAAATCTAATTATATTGTAATTATATGTAAAAATTAACTATATAGTATTTTGTTAATAATATTAATAATTAATAATAGTTTAATTATAAAAATTGTGCTCATTTTCTCTATTAGATTAATATTCAAGTACAATTTATATATATACAGTATATTAATATATATACAGTTTATTATATATAAATTTAATTTTTAATGAATTTAATATTTTAATTTTTAATGAATTCAATATTTTAATTTTTAATGAATTCAATATTTTAATTTTAAATAAATTAATTCTATATTAACTAACTAAATATTTTCACTAAAACAATTTATTTTCTAAAAAATATAAATAAATTAATTTTATTTTAAAAATTTTGACCTTGACACCAAAATATTTAAATATTATAATAAATATATATATATATATATTTAATTTTAATATATTATTCATTTTATTACATATTTAACATTTTTTGTACAATAAAATATCTAAAATTAATTTTACAATTATCTGCTATTAGATTATTGAATTGAATTATATATATATATATATATTAAAATTACTTGTTATTAACAATATTTTATTTTATTGTTACATTTTAATACTATTTAAATCATTGTAATATAAATTTAATTATTAGATTATTATGTTTCTCATAAATATAATTAACTTTTTGAAATATGATTTTTGCAAACATTTAACATAATTTAACATAACATTAAACATTTTTATAATAATATCCATTTTTCTGTACATAATTTTATCTAAATTAAAAAACCTAAAAATTACTAAATTCTTTAAATTCATTATTTAAAAATATTTTATTAATAAATATTATTATTTTTCATAACAATATAATACAGTGTTTGAATATTATATATATATATAGTGTATATATAAGTTATTATATATATTATATTAGTAAAGTAAATGCATTTATTTTGAATTTTGAATTAAAATAATTATAATAACATGAAAGATTTAGACTTAATATTAAAAAAAATTTTTTTTTAATATTTTTATGCTTTAAGATTTAATATATATCTATAGATTATTTTTAATTGTCTAAATTATGTGTCACATGTAATGTTTTTATTTGCCAATAAATTAAATATAATGACTAATAATGTAAAATTATTTATACAATTATTTTTACAATGTTTTAGGTAATAATTATTATGTTTGGAAAAAATACAAAATATATTTATTTTGATTACTTTATTTGAATGTTAATAAAAAAATGTTATTATATATATATAAATATATATGCCGGTAGTATATACAGTATATATAATATCTAAAATAATAAAATTTATTCAATAAACATTTTGTTTAAATAATAATAATAATAATAATTATATACAAAATATTATATTTACAGGAATAGCACTTTCAAAATAGCGGTATCAATAATGTTAACATTGATGTTAATTATTATATTACATTAAAATTAAATCATAATATAATTAAAAAATATTTACATTAATAACTATCATTATATAAATTATTTCTTATATTTATGTCAAATTAGATTCAAAACAAAATAAATTATAAATAAAACTAATAGTGAACTAAAATTATATGTCCATTACATAAATCATAAAATTCATATTATGACCTTGATTATCTTATAATTATCTATACAATAAGTCTAGATGATTATCTAAATTACAAAAATTTCAAATAAAAATTAACATTAATTTTGTTTACACATTACAAATTAATTTTAATTGGCTAATCTATTTGCAAATAATGTACTTGGATATTTTTTTCTCTAAAAATATAAACAAATATTTTAATATTGTTAAAAAATAAAAATTTAATAATATATTTTAATTTATGAATAAACAATAAACTGCACTATAATTTTCTATTTAATTAAAATTATAAGATAATATTGCAACATAGATTTAAATAGTTTTTATTAAATTAAATAATTTAAAAATAAATTATTTTACTAAATAAAACCATGTAATTATTATTTGAAATTACAAATTTAGTTTATATAAAATTTACTGCAATATTGTTTAATATACATGTACAGTAATATTTAATTATATAAAACAATTAACTTTAATAATAAATATTTTACATGTTTAAAAATAAACTAACCTAATTTTGTTTAATATATATAAGTTAATAATAGTTATTAATATTGATTTTATTATATCATTATTTTGTTTTAAATATAGCATTAAATATTTTATTTATATGACAAACAAGTAAAATACATTAAACTAGAATTTATTATAAGCTTATATACTAAATATACTGTATATAACAGTATATAACAGTATATCAATATCTAAATAATAACTAAATACTTGAAAATAAATACAATATATTTGAAAAAAAACATTTCATATTATATCACATTATTATAAAAAATATCGTTTTTAATATTAAATTTATTTTATTTTTTTTAAATATGTTTAATATGAATGCAACAAAAAAAATATAGACGTTTTTTTATTATTTATATTGTTTTACTTGCAAAAAAAATAATTAAAAACTAATACTCACATCATTTGTTTTAAATATTTTTTTACATTATTATTATCGTAATAAATTGTTAAACATTTTTTTTATTATCTTTCTAATAGCAATTATGTTTAATCTAACAAAAAATACTATATATATAAAGTACAATAAAATAAAATACTTAAAACATTGAAATAAAGTTACAGTACAATTAATCTATCAGTTTTTTTTAACGTTACCATGGTCAATAATCTTTATATATATAAAATAGTTAATATTGCGCCATAATTATTATCATTATAATAATATGTGGGAGCAATAATGATATTGCATTTAACGTATTATTATTATTATTATTATTATTAATACTGTATAATACATTTACAGTAATATGAATCATTGTACCAAAAATATGTGCTTGATTATACTAAATAGATTTTATATAAAATTATTTATTTATAAAAAAAATGTAAAAGTGTAATTATTAGTTATTTATACAATAAATACATATCTATATAATTTAGCCAACTATTATTTTTTTTTGAAAATCAACTTTAAATTATTATTATTATTATTTTATTTAACTATTATTTTTATAGTTTTATATGTATAAAGAAATTATTATTTATTTAATTAATTATTATATTATTATTTAAATGACGATTACGTTTGAAATGTTTTATAAACTTAATAATAATAATTATTATTATTATTGAAAATAATAGTCAACTAAAATTAAAGTTGTAATCAAAATTTTAGTGTTAAGTTAATATTTTTTTCAAAAAAAAAACAATAATTTGATATTTATTTATAAAATAAAATTAAAATAAATTATGTTTTAATTAACAATCTATGGATAAGATTAAAATTGACAACAATTTTCAATCAACAACAACAACAACAAAAGTTTCTCAACAAAAACAACAACCAATTAGTTATTATTCACCGAAACATTTGAACGGTTGGTTCGGCGGTACTGATCATACAGTTGGTCCCGATATCATCGGTATTATTGATATGCAGCTGAAAAACTTGGATGAATTTGACGCCAGTCTTAGACAATCATCGACAACAACAACAACAACAACAGCAGTAGTTGTTGTCGACGACAACAATGTCGAAGAGTTGACCGAAAAATTGAGTGCAACTGAACGGGAAAGGGATGTCAATAGGGATAGACTGAGGGAACTGGAGTCTAGATTAGCCGACTGTGAGAAAGAGCTTCGGGAAGTCAAACGTATTAACGATTGGCAGGAAAATTGTATCGAAACTAATGAGTCGGAGATTCAAAGACTACGGGAGTGTCTGAATGTTACCGAAATGCGAGTCCAGGAGACCATCGAAATATCGGAAGTAAGTTATTGTAAAAATTGTATTTTTTGTTATTATTATTATTATTTTGTCGGTACACCTATTGTTTAGGGAAGTAGTCTATTATATTATACATTATATAATATATATATATATATATATATATATATATTAGTTATTAAATATTAGATATTATATATCTATAATAAATAAATCAATATATATTTTTTGTGTATGTATTTAGTTTAAATGGTTTTACTTTTTTTTGTTTAACATTTGTTTCACACAACAAAAATAATAATAAATAAATATTTTTAGTATTTTTATCAATCAAATACAATCAACTAAATCAACTAAATATCTATATATTTTTATTTGTATTTGCAATCAATTTGTAAATATTTAAAAAATCAATAATTATTTGTTTAGTTAGTTAGTTTATATTTAGATTATGATAGATTATTTATTTATTTATTTAGTAATCTAACTTTGTATATTTTATATTATAATAATAACAATCAAATTTTAGGTGTAAAAATAATATTATTAACAAAAAAAATGTTATAATTTAATATATCTAATTGTTATTAATATTAGTTTTAAGTAATACTACCAATATTATGTTATCTTTAAATTAATTACATAAATTTAAATATGATTTTTATTTTCAATATACATAAGTTAATAAAAGTTATTATAATAATAATAATTGTTATTATAATAATTTATTATAATAATGTACTTGAATAAATATATAGTACTGTATATATATATATATATATATATAAGAAGGCGGTCAATCGATCTTGAGCGGCGTATTTTTTGAATAACTTTTAAACGGTTAGAGATAATTTAATTCTGTAAAATACATTTAAGAATATCATATCGACCACACTTAATATACACACAATCACAAAACTAGGATGACCAGATATACAAAATATCGGGACCAATGAAAGACACTATGCTACAGGTCAAACTACAACAGACTAATTTTTTATGACAATGTAAATTTGTAGTCAAGAAATAATAGTTTAATATAAAAAAGAATCATCAAAATGGGATTGGTACTTTTATTTTTATACCTTGTTAAATTTGTCATAAATCACATTGTATAAAATTGTCTAAAATAAAATTGACGTTATTTGTAAATATTATATACTTATTAAATGAAGATTTTCATGTTATCACTAAATCTAAAAACAAAATTTTAATATGTCGACTAGTTTTCGAAATAATCGACTTTGAATATAAATTATAATATCAAATTACAATAGTGTAATTTATATTGAAAGTCGATTATTTCGAAAACTAGTCGACATAATAAAATTTTGTTTTTAGAAATAATAATATAATTGAAAATTTAATTTTCTAAATATATAATAGTCATAAATAACGTCAATTTTATTTTAGACAATTTTATACAATGTGATTTATGACAAATTTAACAAGGTATAAAAATAAAAGTATCAATCCGATTTTGATGATTCTTTTTTTATATTAAACTATTATTTCTTGACTACAAATTTACATTGTCATAAAAAATTAGTCTGTTATAGTTTGACCTGTAGCATAGTGTCTTGCGTTGGTCCCGATATTTTGTATATCTGGTCATCCTAGTTTTGTGATTTCGTGTATATTAAGTGTGGTCGATATGATATTCTTAAATGTATTTTACAGAATTAAATTATGTCTTACCGTTCAAAAGTTATTCAAAAAATACGCCGCTCAAGATCGATTGACCGCCTTCTTATATATATATAGGTACAAATGTATGTGGGTGTAAACTTAATTAATATATTATAATAATGCACATGTATATTAATGTTAATATTAATGTACTGTATTGTATCAATTATACAGTACAATTAGTATAATACAGTATATTTCTAACAGTTGATACAATAATACAGTATAATACCATATATATTATAGTATAAATAATTTATAGTAGATAACAACAATATAAATATATTAAACTTTATTAAAGAAATATAATAATGTATTAGTCATTAATTTAAAAAAAAAATATATTCAAGTTTTAATATTTGTTCAATAGTTAACTATTACTTATTAGAAACACAACAACAACAAAAACTACAACAAAAAACTTTTGCGCAGTCAGTAGGATTCGAACCTACGCGGGCAGAGCCCAATAGATTTCTAGTCTATCGCCTTAACCACTCGGCCACAACTGCTTAAGTTATAAATAAATTGGTTAAAATTGTTGTGAAAAGTTAAAATTGCAAATCTCAAAAAAATAAATCAATTTATATTAATATTAAAACTATGTATCAATATATATATATATAATTTTAGTAGTAATAAATTTTATTAATAGTAGATAACAACGATAATAATAATAATAATAATAAAATGCTATAATAAGCAACAAAAAATAAAATGCTTAGTATATGTTTTGTTATCAAACTATATAATAAAATAATAAAAGTAAAAGTTTTTATAGAAATATTTTAGTTAATAATTTATTACAATTTTATTATAATTTAATACATAATAATAATATTTTTATTAAATAAATATTTAAATAACTATTTTTTTAGAAACATAGATACACTAATGTCAAAATAATCACAAAAAATATTATAACATTTATTATAACTCATGTTAACAACTACAAAAAATTATCAAGGTTAAAACTGTTTCACTTTATCTATCCTCCTATTAATATATTGTTACACATTTTTATAATTATATGATCATTTTTTAAAAAAATAAAATCAATATAATAAAGTTACAAAATTAATATATAAAAAATAAGTATTAAATTTTTTAAAAAACAAAAATCTTATCGCAGTTGGTAGGATTCGAACCTACGCGGGCAGAGCCCAATAGATTTCGAGTCTATCGCCTTAACCACTCGGCCACAACTGCTTGATTAATTACTAGCAATTATCATATATAGCGAGTTTTTATATTTTTAAAAATATATTTTTAAAAAAAATTATTTTAACTTTGATATTAATATATAGTAATAAAAAATTTTTTATCTTAAAATCGCAGTTTTCCAAAAACATAGAAATCAGAAAATATTTTTAATCTATTATTCAAATACATGTATATTGTTTGATAATATTATAGTTTTTTTATTGATTAGTTATTAACTTAGTCATCAAATTTTTATCTAATATTTCTAGTGTGTGTGTGTGTGTGTATGTACTGTGTGTGTGTGTGTGTGTGTGTGTGTGTGTGTGTGTGTGTGTGTGTGTGTGTGTGTGTGTGTGTGTGTGTGTGTGTGTGTGTGTGTGTGTGTGTGTGTGTGTGTGTGTGTGTGTGTGTGTGTATGTATGTGTGTGTATGTATGTGTGTGTATGTTTTTTGTATGTATGTGTGTGTATATACGTGTGTGTATGTATGTGTGTGTGTGTGTGTTAGAGGGTATTAATTGATTGATAAATACTACTAGTAATTTTATAATTAATCTATAAAACTATTTTATTGTTATTTATAGATTAAAGTATAGATTTAAAAACTAAATTAAAATTAGTAATTAAATACATTATTTTAAACATTATTTTAATTAATTACTTTTTTAATAGGAAATTATTGTCGATTTGACTGCCAAACTAAAGATAACCACCGATGAACTAGCAGTATATAAATGTCAGACATTGTCGGGTACTGTTTCAGGACCTACCGGTGCTGACAAAGCTAACAATGTTGAACAACAACAGCAACACTATATCAAACATAACCTAACAAAAGGTGGTCTACCTCATCATCATCAGAGTAGGCTAGCTAAGCATATGGGAGGGGTGGCCAGGGCTTTAAGTCCATCGAGGACACCATCGTTTTACGTTGAGCTCAATGACAGTAGCAGCAGCACCGGTAGCCAAATCAATAATAGTGGAAATCATAGTAGTGATTACAATAAATGCAACAACAAAACAACCGATTATTATCTTAATAATAGTAAACTAAAGCTAAAAGTTTTGACCACCGAAATGGATAACCTGTGCAAACAGTTTACAGTATCGGCTATCCGACAATTGTGGCCACAAAAGGGAACGTCGGGGGTCTCGGTTAGTATTGTCGACACACTGGCCGACAAGTTAGCCAACAAATTGAACGACAAGTTTGGCCGCCAGTGGAACTGTTGGCTTATGTCGGCTAATAGTAGTAGTGGTAGTAGTAGTGGTATACATACCGGTTCGCTGAACTACCAGTGCGGTACATATATGTTATGCTCGTTGAATAAGTGCTGGCATTTAGTAATATTTAAAAATCAAACGATTAATAATAGTTATACTAATTTGTTAAATAATAATAATAGTAATCAAGATAATAGTAATATTGATAATCTAGTTAATAATAATAATAATAATATTGATGACAATGATATTACTAGTGTGCCAGCTCATGGAGATTATAATAACGAGGTAAGTTTATTTTTTAATTTTTTAAATAAAAAATTAAAATAATATTTATACATAATTTATAAATTTATTTACTCAACAAAATTATTAAACTATTAATAATAATAATTTTTACAATAATATGATTGACTAATTAAATAGTAGATTAAAAATTTTAATAATAAAATTAAATCCAAATAAAATCATAATATTTATTGATAAAAATTTACTTATAAGTTAACTCTGATAAGTATTTTAATCAATTTCAATTATGATATATTAATTAAAATAAAAAAACATCAAATATATTGAACATTTTATTGTTTACAGTTTTGAAAAATTAAAAATACTTTGAAACATATTTTTATTAAATTATTCATCAATAATTAACAAATATTTTTATTATTGTTACAATAAAACTAAACTGATACAGATAAGTTATTTAAAGTAATAGTATTAATAATTATAGTAATAATAATAATAAGTTAAAATTTTTAAAGATAAAAATAAGAGAGTATTTATACTTTAGTATTCATATTGTAAATTATTTATACACTTTTTTTTTGTATAAAACAAATAAAAATATTTAAATAATTTAATTATTTTATATACAGTATATATATACATATATATATATATATATATATATATAATATTTACACGTTTTAGTTAATTAAAATTATTATATTTTAATATTATTAATAATAAAGATATTTTTAGAAATAGAAATAAACTGAATTTAATTATAAAATATTATAATCTATTTACATTATATGAAATTTTTAAAAAAATTAATAAATAAGTTATAATAATATTATTTTAAAAAAACTATTTATATGATATTTTTGTTTGATAATTAAAATTATTATTATAAACTAAAATAATAATACTGTAGTATTAGTACATAAGTAAAAAAATATTAAATATAAAAAGTTTTTTTTAAAGTTTCATATTATTTTTTTTATTATTAAAAAAATTTAAATCCAATTTATTTTGTTTACAACAGTTTGTGGCAACCATTGGTGAAACACCATCACCACAACCACCACCACCACCAACAACAACAACAGTTAGTCAACAATTAACAACAACTATAGAACCGGTAGTTAGTAGTGCCGACACCACCGATCCCACAGCTGTCCGTATATTCAAACGTAGTGTCAATCTTGAGGCACCTATTGAACGAATGATCATCAATATAGCATTGGATGCCATTAGTAGTCAACAACAACAACAGCACCTACAGGTGCTGATGATGGCAGACAATACTGATAGTAGTAGCAGTAGTGGTGACCTAAATAGTAGTCTAAACCTATACCAAACAGTTAGCGTCCAAATACGTGACCAGATTTGTTCAAAATATAATAGCCAATGGTTTGTATCGGTTGGCGGTACCCACAACTACTCGACCTCCTGGGCATTGGCCAGGAGTCGCAAGTTTTTGCTGTTTGAGGTGTCAAATGTCAAGTTTACTGTTGCCGAAGTTGGCTTCGGCTGGTTATGGTAACTGTGCTTCAAAAAAACAAACAATATTATTTATTTTTTTTTTTTTTAAATTATATTAGTTTTATTCATTAAAAATTAATTACATAATAATTTTTAAAATGATTTTTTATATATTTATTAAAGATTAGTTATTAAATTATATAAAAATAAATATATATATATTTTGTCAATTAATAATTTTTTTATACATTATATAATTATAAATACATATTTACTTAATAATATTGAACATCAAATGTTTTATTTATTTATTTACTTATCATATTTACTAAATTACTAATTAATTATAATAATAAAAATTTTTATAATAATAAAAAATATATATTTAATTAATATTATATATTATGTGTTTCATATTAATTATATCTAACAGTATCCTGAATCCAATCGACTAGTTTAGATACCCGTGCAAAATACATATAATTACCGCTAGACTTATTCAGACATTGGTTGCCATCGATGGATATGGCTATACCGATAAGTACTGCCCGACCACTATCTCTACCATTGCCATCAGTTATGTACTGAACCAATGGTCCGCCAGAGTCGCCCTATAAATATATTTTTTTAAAAATTACATACAAATAATTATAATAAATACAAATAATAAAAAAAACTGTATGTACCGCACAACTACCGGCACCAACATTTTCCGGATATCTAGAAGCTAGTATAACACCATCATAGAGTGAATACATATACTCAAATCTAGTCCAACCGGCCCGTAGTACGGGTCCCTGATTATCAACACCGACATCAATCTTACCGAAACCGGCCATCAGTGCCCACTCGTCATTGTCGACATTGGTGTTGATAACAATGTTTTTGTTGTTGTTGTTGGTGTTGTCGGGCAAACAAATACCGTTAATCGTTGGATACGTACGAAACTTATCGGTTATTTCACTTAATTTTGTATCTAATTTCAGTAGAGCCACATCGTATCTCAATTTTTTTAATCCCTTTTGGTTGGCCCTATATTTGGGATGTATGAACCACTTGTCTACACCGTATGTATGGCTATTATCATTCAGATCCTGAACCAAGCGTACAGTTGACTTGAAATTTTGTCTTTTAATTAAATAATCAAAGAAAATTATTGTTAAAAAAATAATAATATTTTAGAATAATAATTTTTTTAGTAATATTTAATAAAAATAAAATATATTAATTTAAATATTTTTTTAAACAAAATAAACAATTAGTTTTTTTAAAAAAATAAATACCGGAAACAATGGGCTGCAGTTAATATCCATTGTTTATTTAGTATAACACCAGTACATGAAACACTATTGAATGAAAAAAAAACAAACAAATAAAACAAAAATATATATATAAATAATTATCATTAATCACTATTTTGTTTAAAAAAATAATAATTATTATATAAAAATATTTGATTAGCAATTTTTTTGTTGCTATAAATCTATTTATCTATTTATATACAATTACTATTTAATTGGTATGAATTTCCATATAAGATATTTAACACTTTTCAAATAGACAATCCATGGCCAATCTCCCTGTGCTGGGATCAGTCCGTTTTGAATTTTAGCCGACATATGATTGTTGTTGTTGACCGATAGTGTCGACCGATATTTGTATGACTGCCGTCCGATACCACACTTGTCTAGTGTTACGTTCGGGTAGTGTCTGATGATAGGTGAGGACAAACTTACCGTCACTAACATTGTTAACACTATAATAATAATAAATATTATTTTGAAAAAAAATTAATTATATTTTTAAGTTTTAATTATTAAATTATTAGATTATTAGTTTTTTTTGTATATAAAATAGTACACATACTTAATAAATTAATAAATAATATTTTAATATTTATATAATTAGAAAAATACATTATTTAATACAAAAACGAAAAAACACGATAAAAATTTAGTTATTAATAATAAATGATTGATTTTTTAAAAAAAATATATAATTATTTGGCTTTATTATAAACGTTAAATATTTTTGATTTAATGATTGAATTAATAAAATTACATTTTATAAATATTTTATAATTATTGTTTATTTAAAAATATGATATTTATATATATAACAAAAATACTGTACATTGATTTATCATTAAAATAATAATTTTAATAATATTTTTTCTATTACTACAATTGTTTTTTCAATAAGTCATAAAATAATAGTTATTTTTATTAATAGAAATATGTAAATACAATATGATATAAAATTATATCAATAATTCAATAATAAAATTTATTAGTCATAATTATTTTTCTTTATTAATAATATAATTAGTATATTAAAATAATATGATTTTTTTAGTTAAATACTAGATTACATATATTGCTATATACTGATTATATATATATATATATATTGATTATATAGATTATATAGATTATATTATTAATACTACATGTATATAATATTGTAATAAAAATAGGTTAAAAATTTGACCGAAAAAAAATATTATATATAAAAAAATACCTAAAAACAAAACATATATTAAATTGTGTATTAATAATAGTATAGTTTTAATTATTTCTAACAATATCAACAATCCATTGGACTAATTTAGACACACGAGTAAAATACATATTACTTAATTGATTTGTATTATTCAGACATTGTCTACCATTAATTGCCGAAGTAATACCAATAAGTACTGCCCGACCACTATCTCTCAGATGACCAGACATATCGTACTGAATCAATGGACCGCCAGAGTCACCCTATAATTAATGTTATTAAAAAAAATAATTTTTTAATATATAATTTAAAACAAAACAAAAAATACAAATATTATTATATATATTTGTATTTTTTTAACATAATCATAATAATAACAACATTTAATTATTTTTTTTAATAGAAATATTACTAAATGTGTTTTTTTTGTTTTGTTTTATATACCATATATAATATATATATATATGGTTGCGAAAGGTTTTCGATTTCATGGGGAGGGGGGGGTATAGAGGAGTAAAATGGCAAAAAGCTTGGAGGTATAGTGTGGGGTGAACAATTTTAATTGCATTTTTTAATATGACAATTTATATATATCAATATAATATATATATATACCAGACAAGCACCCGGACCAACTATCGGTGGATATCTTTGCCCATATATAAAACCATCTGATTGATTGTCATAATGTCTAATTTTAGTCCAACCCGTATGCAATGGTCCCATATTATCAACGCCGACATCAGTCTTACCGAAACCGGCTATCAGTGCCCATTCGTTGGCGTAACTGTTCTTAATGTTCAGGTAGTAGTCGGGCAAACAAATACCGTTAACCCGTGGATAGGTTTTCCAACTGTCCTCTTCCCATAGTTCCCAAATATTACCGACCAATTTGACTAATGCCATATCGTATTGGGTTTGGTTAGGGTGTATATACATGGGATGTATGAACCACTTGTCCACACTGTATGTATGCCTATTATCTCTGGTGTCTTGAACTATACGTACTGTTATTGTATAATCTTTACTGTAGAAACAAAAATTTAGTTATTAATTAAAAATATTATTAAATTAAACTAATAATAATTGATTGATAAATTATCTTTTTTTAGTCATTTTGTTTTTTTCCGAAATTAAATATAAAATAAATACATTATTTTTAAAGATTTTATAGATGTGCTAGATTATAGATTAATTATTATATAATGTTTAATTTAATTACTTAATACAATGGGCTGCCGTTATAATCCATTGTTTGTTTAATATAACGCCAGTACATTTAGCCACTGAATTAGACCTTAAAAACATTTTAATTTATTAATATATTTTTTCAAAAAAAATATTAAATATGGGCGATTCACATATTACGTTAGCACTTTTTTTTAAAAAAATCTAGACCCCTACTCCCCTATGTTTAGGTATTTAATTAAATTGTAGTCATTAAAAAAATAAATATGTTCGCATATTCACAAGCGTGTCCCCCAACTCCCCCCCCCTCAGCAAGAGATAAAATATTATCTAAATGCAAACGTTCTCCAAAAGTCCCTACCCCTCCTCCCCTCGTTCGCAAAAGTTCACTTTGGCCAACCCCCCTACCCTCAAGTGCGCGGACGTAATATGTTAATCATTCCTTACTAATAATAATAATAATAATAATTATTATTATTATATTATTAGTAATAATTTATTACTATTATTATTAAAAAATTAATTTTATATATTTAAATTTTTTTTTCTAAATACCAAAACCTTTTTAATTTAATATAAGCAATCCATGGCCAATCTCCCAGTACGGCTGTCTGTCCATATTGTAAATTTTCCGGTACATTACCACCACTACCACCATAACCACCATAAGCACCATTACTACTACTACTGTGCCATTTAAAACATTTGCCGATAAATGTTTGGGACTGATATTTGTATGACTGTCGGCCGATACCACACGATTTGACTGTTACTTTCGGGTAGTGTTTGACTCGTGACTGTGGCGGCGGCCGAGGCTGACCATTGACTACCACTGTTAGTACCGTTAGTACTGTTGTTGTTGTTTTAATTGTTATAATAGAAAAAAAACAAAAATAATTTTATCTTTAAAATTATTAATTATTTATATATATATTATATTTGTTTTTTTTGATACAATATTTTTTGTTTATAATACTTTATAAAGTACTTATAATACATACTTAATAAATTTAAACAAATTGGTTTAAAATACATTTTAATAAAATACATTATAAAACTATTAATAACAATAATTAGAAATTTTTATAAATTACTTAATCTTTTATTTTAGATATTAAAATCAAAATTATAATTTTTCAATTATAATAAATATAAATTAAATGTTTAAACAAACAAAAAAATTTTGTTGTCGATATATTTATATAGAAATTGATACATAATATGTATAATAATATAACATTTTTATTTAATGATTAACAAAAAAAATTCACTATTAATTTTATTTATTTAAAAAATTCCTTAAATAATGTATAATAATAATAATTGTTTGATAATATTATTTTTATCATCAACTATCAATTATTTTTATTATTATTAAAATAATAAATATAATTTATGTTTATATATATAAATATTATAGACTATATAATACAAAACTATTAAATATATTATATGCTATTAGATTTTAAAATTCAAAAATAGTTTCAAATATAATAATAATATAAAATTTATTATTTATTTATTATTTATATAATAATAGAAATACATTATTTAATACAAAACAAAATACACTATAAAAATTAAGTTATTAATATAAATGACATTACATTTTATAAATGTTTATAATGATTAATTATTGTTTATTTAAAAATATGATATTTGTATATATCAAAAATACTATACATGGATTTATCATAATAATAATATTTTTAACAATATTTTTTCTATTACTACAATAATTGTTTTTCATTATTCATAAAATAATAGTTATTTTTATTAATAGAAATATGTAAATACAATATGATATAAAATAATATGAATAATTCAATAATAAAAATTATTTTTCTAATTTATTTTTCTAATTAGTATATTAAAATAATATGATTTTTTTAGTTAAATACTAGATTACATATTGTTATAAATTTATACTGATTATATGTATAATATATTGTTTATATAGATCATATTATTAATACTACACTACATATATAAATTAAGTTCGTATCACAAAAATATTGATATCATTAACTTTTAACTTTAATAACTTTTTTATTACATAAGAAAAAACAACAAATTTAGTATCAAATTAAATATCAGACTAACTAATTTCTAAGACAATTGATAAAATTTAATAAATTATTAAGATATCTATAAAAATAGCACAAGAAGTAAGAAATGGTAAAAATATTAATTACAAAAAGTATTTTCGTGAAAACAAAACTTAAAAAATTATTAACAAAATAAGTGCATTAAATTGGTATAAACGATGTTAATAGCGAGTATTTCCTCCGCTGGCATCGATGACAGCTTGTAATCTTCTGGGAACACTTTGGATCAGTTTTTCGGTGACTTCTTGTGGTATATTTTTCCAAACATTAAATAGTGATTCTTTAAACACAGAAAAACTTTTTCTTTCGCTTTTTTGAACACGTCTGTCCAATTCATCCCATAAATGCTCAATAATATTGAGGTCCGGGCTCTGTGGTGGCCACTCAAGTGTCTCAATATGGTTGTCAGACAACCATTTCTTAGGCAATTTCGATGTGTGTTTCGGATCGTTGTCGTCTTGAAATACAAAATCGTTGTTAATTTGGAGATCTCTTGCGCTCTGAATCAAATGTGGGGTCAAAATATCATTAACGTAAACATAGCGATCCATAGTTGATGGTATTTCCACCAAATGGCCGACTCCCTGGCCTGTCATACATCCCGACACCATCACTGATTTTGAGTGCTTTACTTTTGGGCATATATTTTCGGCATTTAAACTTTCGCCTCTCTTTTTCCACACTCTTTGGCGACGTTTTGTGTTAATTATCTCAAATTTAGACTCATCTGACCACAAAACCTTCTTCCAGAATGACATCGGCATCCGGATGTACTTTCGTGCAAAGTCTAACCTTTTTCTCTGATTTGTTAGGCTTATCATTGGACGTCTTCTAGCAATACCACTGTAATAACCTATTTCACGGATCCGGTGTCTAATGGTGTTGTTATGACACAAAATATTTCGGTCGGCCAACTCTTCCCTTATCTCATCGGTGGTTAACTTCTTATTTTTTGCTACTATTCTACTTAAAATCCGATCTTGTTTTGCATTTGTACACCTTTTTCGACCACTTCTTGTGAGATTTTTAACTGTCCCGTACTTTTGGACTTTTAGTACAATCGATCGGACAGTATTATCTGTTGTTGCAAACACATCTGCTATCTTTGCGTATGACTTTCCGGTGCTGACTCTCATATCATACATTGTTGACGAATTTTATCTGAAAACTCTTGGATTTTAACCATTTTAATGATAATCACTGCATTTACTACTCATTTACGTGTATTCAAATTAATAACAATGCATTGGAATCAATTGGTCCCAACAATGTGTCTGAAATCACGCGCGTTTCAAAAACACGAAAATAATTTTTGTACGCAAATTATTGACACCTATAACTTTACCTTGATATATTTGGTTATTTAAATATTAGTTTTTACCATCTAGTATATCAATTTAATTGTGAGTTATTACTCTCTAGTTTGATACTAAATTTGTTGATTTTTCTTATGTAATAAAAAAGTTATTGAAGTTTAAAGTTAATGATATCAATATTTTTGCTATACGAAATTAGATAATGTTTGTACTGTACATGTATATAATATTGTAATATAAATAGATTAAAAATTTGACCGAAAAAAAATTATTATATATAAAAATTACTTAAAAACAAAACATATATTAAATTGTGTATTAATAATAATATAGTTTTTTAATTATTTCTAACAATATCAACAATCCATTGAACTAATTTAGACACACGAGTAAAATACATATTATTTAATCTATAAGTAGTATCCAGACATTCATTGCCATCACCTGCAGAAGTAATACCAATAAGTACTGCCCGACCACTATCTCGCAGATGACCAGACATATCGTACTGAATCAATGGACCGCCAGAGTCACCCTATAATTAATGTTTTTAAAAAAATAAATAATTTTATATATAATTATTTAAAAACAACAAAAAAATATTTATTGTATAATTATAATAATAATAAGCAATATTTAGTTAAAAGTTTTTATGCTGTGTTTATTTTTTTTGTTATAAGCTAAATAATAATAATTTTTTATAGAAAATGGGTTTTTTATTTTGTTTTATATACACTATATATATATATATATATATATATATATATATATATATATATATATATATATATATATATATATATATATATACTGTATATATATACTGTATATATACCTGACAAATACCCGGACCAACTTTCGGTGGATATCTTTGAGCATATATAGTACCATCTGATTGATTGTCATAATGTCTAATCTTAGCCCAACCCGTATACAATGGTCCCATATTATCGACGCCGAAATCAGTCATACCGAAACCGGCCATCAGTGCCCATTCGTTGGCGTAACTGGTTTTGATGTTCAGATAGTAGTCGGGCAAACAAATACCGTTAACCCGTGGATATGCTTTCCAACTGTCCTCTTCCCATAGTTCCCAAATATTACCGACCAATTTGACTAATGCCATATCATAGTTGGTTAGGTCAGGGTCTACATTGAACATGGGATGTATGAACCACTTGTCCACACCGTATGTATGCCTATTATCTCTGGTGTCTTGAACTATACGTACTGTTATAGTATAATCTTTTCTGTAAAAAAAAATTTAGTTATTAATTAGAAATATTATTAAATTAAACTAATAATAATTGATTGATAAATTGTCTTTTTTTTAGTCATATTGTTTTTTTTCCGAAATTAAATATAAAATAAACACATTATTTTGTACTAGATTAGATTAGTTATTATATAATGTTTAATTTAATTACCCAATACAATGGGCTGCCGTTATAATCCATTGTTTGTTTAATATAACGCCTGTACATGTAATCACTGAAATAGACCTTTAAATAATTTTAATTTATTAATTTAGTTTTTTTCAATAAAATATTAAATATGAGCGATTCACATATTATGTTCGCACTTTTTTTTAAAAAAAAAATCTAGACCCCTTCCTCCCCTATGTTCGCAATTGTAGTCATCTTAAAAAATAAATATCCCAACTCCCCCCCCAACAAGAAATCAAATATTATCTAAATGCGAACGTTCTCCCCCCAGTCTCTACCCCCTCCTCTCTTTCGCAAAAATTTCACTTTTGGCAACCCCCTACACTCAAGTGCGCGGACGTAATATGTTAATCATTCCTTACTAATAATATTAATAATTATATTATTATTATTAAAAAAATTAATTTTATATATTTAATTATTATTTTTCTAAATACCTAAACGAGTATTTTTCTAATTTAATATAAGCAATCCATGGCCAATCTCCCAGTACGGCTGTCTGTCCATATTGTAAATTTTCCGGTACATTACCACCACCACCACCACCATAACCACCATAAGCACCATTACTACTACTACTGTGCCATTTAAAACATTTGCCGATAAATGTTTTGGACTGATATTTGTATGACTGTCTGCCGATACCACACGATTTGACTGTTACTTTCGGGTAGTGTTTGACTCGTGACTGTGGCTGCGGCCGAGGCTGACCATTGACTACCACTGATAGTACCGTTAGTACTGTTGTTGTTGTTGTTGTAATTGTTATAATGGGAAAAAAACAAAAATTATTTTATCTTTAAAATAATTAATTATATCTATATAAATTTATAATACATACTTAATAAATTTAAACAAATAGGTTTAAAATTCATTTTTGATAAAACACATTAAAAAAAAGTTATAAAACTATTAATAATAATAATTAGAAATTTTTATAAATTAATTAATCTTTTATTTTTAGATATTGAAATCAACAAATTATGGTTTTTCAAGTTTAATTAATATAAATGTCTAAACAAATAATAATTTTTTGTTGTCGATATACAGTATTTATATACCATTGATATGATAATCATCGGTATAATTGATAGATAATATGTATAATAATATAACATTTTTATTTAATGATTAACAAAAAAAATTGACTATTGATTTTGTTTATTTAAAAAATTCCTTATATACTGTATAATAATAATAATTGTTTCATAATATTATTTTTATCATCAACTATCAAATATTATTTTTATTATTATCACAATCAATATAATTTATGTTTATATATAAATATTATAGACTATATAATTCAAAACTATTAAATATATTATATGCTATTAGATTTTGAAATCCTAAAATAGTTTCAAATAATAATAATAATAATAATATAAACTAATTACTAATTTAATATAATTGTAATATACTGTAAAATAAAACTTTTACTAATTGTGTTTTACTGTATTTTATGTATTTTAATTATTTCAACAATCCTTGAATATTGCTTCAATATAATCCTTCAATTAAAAAACAAAAACTATAGGATAATTAGCATTACTTATTAAGTTTCTTGTTTAAATTACATTATTTATAATAATAATAATATCTTAATTATATAACATCACTAAAAAATTGTTATTAATTAAAATTTTTTTAATTACTAATTAATTAATATTTAGCTAACAAGTCGAGCACCCGTCCATTTACATACTGGCCAGCACTGGTACCCATTACTAGTTCAATGTGATTCCAGGTACTATCGGGCACTAGATAGTCGTCCAATAATTTAACTAATGGTTTTACAAATAAATAAATAATTTATTTTTTAATAAACAAACAACAAAAAAACTGTAACCAAAACCTTTTAGACGATCTTTCAATAGGCGGACGTCGTCGACATGATTGAGCCAATCGTTAGCCGCATAGATAAACGCAATGTCTATAGAGTCTATGGCTTCCATACTGTAGGCCAACGGTACGGACGAGTTATACCGCCGCTCATTGTCCCGGGAGTCCCAATGATCATACCGTTCGGGACGGTTAGACCGCCATACTTGATATAGATGGGCGGCATTCCAACTGCTGCCGCCGGACGGTATGTTTGAAATGTAGACCCCTGTCCTTGTCTATTGACACACACACACACATAAACAATGATGATTAAATAATTAGCATGTTAGATTTAAGAAAAAAAATCAATTATTACATACCATATTCCATTGTGAACGTTGAAAACCTAGAAACAAATAGTATAACCGATAGCAGACTACCTGAGCCCAGTAGGTAGTGTCGCATAGTTTGGCAAATAATTTCAATGGTCTATCTGCTAATAAAATTGATGACTCGGATTTTCTATTAATTAATTATTTTATTGTATGGAATTTTTTTTTAAATTTATTATTATTATACAATATAGTTATATACAGTATATATATATACCGTATACTATATTATATGTTTATATTATTAAAAATAAATGTAAAAACCTGAGAAGCGAGTAGACATAATGTATTATTTTATATAAAGGTGATGTTGAATTGCCTAAATAGGAAACGGGAGATATGGCTATAAATGGCTTAATAGTGTTTGTATAGTGCGGTTGTGTGGCCAACAACGAAAACATCATATAGTTGCCCTGTGAATGGCCAATATAGCCAATTTGATCTAGGTTAATTATGTTAATTTTTTAATTCAAAAATAATTAATACAACTAAAAAATTAATTGTAGACAATTAGTATCAAATAAAATGTTTTATTAATATACTAAAATATAATGTAACTAAAAATTAGATTAAATAGTTAAATATTATTATTAAAATACAATGTTTTTAATATATTAATAGCTTAAAGACACATTAGTTTGCTAAGTATAATAAAATTGTATTATAAAATAAGTTAATAGTTTTAAAATAACTTTTTATTTAAGCTGTTTAAATATTTTAAAAACATTTCTGTTTTTTTAAATAGTAATACAATATATTTGAAATCTTATGTAATTATATATAATTAATACCTTTTTTTGTTTGCTTTTTGATATACTCTATCATTGCCGGCAAATCGTATTCAATCATCTCATCGATAGAAAAACGCCAAAACTTTGAGTCTTTAATAATTATAATAATAATAATAATAAATAATTTCTTTTAAAAATATTTTCCATAAACTTTCAATTTAAAAATAAAAAACTATTAGTTAATTACCATAACTTGATAAGTGTATGTGATTTAATGAATACCGATTTCCACGCATATTAGCCAACCAGACATCAAAGCCATTGGCGGCCAAAACAAATCCTAAACTATTGCCCATTTTGTTGTGGCCATTGTTTGTTGTGGGCATCCAATCTTCCACATACCCTCTTTCACCGGTCAACTGTCCCATAGATGCTAAAAGCCATGAGTCGGAACTGGATTGAAAGCCGTGTTGCAATAGTATCGGCTTCAATAGCAACCGATTTTTGACATATGGGTTAACTATACGGATGACTGTCAAGACATAACCGTCGGCTGTCTCGACATAATGTGTTTCCGATTGAAAACCACGTGATTTGACAATTTCTGACTAAAATATTATGAATATTTTTTTTTACTATTTAATAAATTTTACAACAAAAGTTAAACTAACAATAAAATATGATCACTAGTGTTAGTAATTAGTTTTGTTGCTATAAATTAAGTTAAATTGAGATATATTGTAATATATTGACATATATAATGATTTAATAGTTTAGCTATACTTACAGTATTGCGATCGATGTCCAGATTGAATGACAACCAGTGGTCAATGTATTGCCAAACGGGCATAAAATATAGCGATATTATGGCCGCAAATACAGCCAACACTATATACGCCCGACTTCTTGTAAATTTACAACTGTTTTCAACATTATTATAATTATTATTATTATTATTAAATTGAATATTTTTTACATTATTAGGTGACATTTAAATTTAATTGAATTAAAAATTAGAAAAAATACACCAACAAAAATATTTTTATACAATAAAAAAGTAGATTTTAACTAAATTTATCAATTAATTAATACGAAATCAGACATAGATATACAGGTAAACATAATATAAAGGTAACGAAATATAATTAAGATGTTTATGTAAACATATTAAAGTCAATATTAATAAAATTATTTTTTTGAATTTAATTAATTAAATTTAATACTTTAATATTTTGAGTAATTAATTTAAAAATAAATGTGGACTTTAATTAATTAAATTTTTACTAACATTTATATTATTGATATACACTATACATAATATAAATTAAATTTAAGTAAATTCCAAATAGCAGTAAAATATATTAAATTATTAAATAAAATTAACTAAAATATTGAGAATTATTATAAAATTATAATCATTAATTTAAATATTTAGCTAACAAGTCGAGCACCCGTACATTTACATACTGTCCAGCACCGGTACCCATTACAAGTTCACAATGATTCCAAGTGCTATCGGGTACTAAATAATCGTCCAATAATTTAACTAATTATAAAAAAATAAATAGTTAGGTATTTAATAATAAATTATTAATATTTTTTTTAAATGATTAGTTAAAATATTATATTTATAAGATTAGCCAAACCTTTTAGATGATCTTTCAATAGGCGGACGTCGTCGAGATGATTGAGCCAATCGTTGGCCGCATAGATGAGCGCAATATCGGTCGAGTTTATGGCTTCCATATCGTAGGCCAACGGTACGGATGAGTTATATCGGCGCTCATTGTCCCGCGAGTCCCAGTGATTGTATCGTTCGGGACGGTTAGCTAAGAACGATTGTATCAAATGGGCGGTATTCCAGCTACTGGAGCCGGAAGGTACTTGTGATATGTAGACCCCTGTCCTTGTCTATTGATCATAAAAATAAACAAGTATAAATAATTAATATGCTAAATTTTTTAAGTACATTTTAGGTATTATTATTATTATTATTATTATTATTATTATTATTATTATTATTATTATTATTATTATTATTATTATTATTATTATTATTATTATTATTATTATTATTATTATTATTATTATTATTATTATTATTATTATTATTATTATTATTATTATTATTATTATTATTATTATTATTATTATTATTATTATTATTATTATTATTATTATTATTATTATTATTATTATTATTATTATTATTATTATTATTATTATTATTATTATTATTATTATTATTATTATTATTATTATTATTATTATTATTATTATTATTATTATTATTATTATTATTATTACATACCATATTCCATTGAGAACTTTGAAAGCCAAGAATCAAATAGAATATCCGATAACAGACTACCTGAGCCCAGTAGGTAGTGTCGCATAGTTTGGCATAAAATTTCAATGGTCTCTCAATTAATAGAAATGGAAACTCAAATCTCCTATTTATTTATGTTTTTTAAATTTTGTTAATTAGTATTATATAATAGTAACCATTTATATTCTATATTTACCTGAGAAGCGGGTAGACATACTGTCCTAAATTGAGCAACAATGATGTTGCATTGCCTAAATAGGGAACGGGAGATAAGGCAATAAATGGCTTAATAGTGTTTGCATAGTGCGGTTGTGTTGCCAACAATGCGAACATCATGTAAGTGCCCTGGGAATGGCCAATATAGCCAATTTGATCTAGGTTGATTTACATACATAAATAAAATATTTAGTGGTAAATAACAATTTCTTTTTAAAAAATGTAATTACTATTTAATTTTTCATCAGTTAATGTTAAAATAGTAGTAAAAATAAATTACTTAATAAATAAATAAATAAATACACAAATTAGTTAAAATATGAGTTTGATTAAAAGTTTGTTTGTTTTTATAATTGGATATAATGTTACATAATTTTTTTTAATTACTTTATAGGAAATAAATGTTACTTTTGAAAAAAACATACTGTATTTTATAATATTTACAAAATTATTGATTATAAGTAGCATAATGTAAAATAATATTTATAATGTATTGATAGCTTAAAGACATTAGTTTCTGTTATGTTTAAATACATAATATTTAAAATATTAAGTTATGTATAATAATTATATTCATATATTAATACCTTTTTTTGTTTGTTTTTTGATGTACTCTATCATTGCCGGCAAATCGTATTCAATCATCTCATCGATAGAAAAGCGCCAAAACTTTGAGAAAACTTAAAATAAAAATATTTTATTTTCAAAAATATTCAATTTAAAAAAAACAACTATAAGTTAATTACCATCACTTGATAAGCGTATGTGATTTAATGAATATCGATTTCCACGCATATTAGCCAACCAAACATCAAAGCCATTGGCGGCCAAAACAAATCCTAAACTATTGCCCACTTTGTTTTGGCTATTGTTTGTTGTGGACATCCAATCTTCTACATACCCGCTTTCACCGGTCAACTGTCCCATAGATGCTAAAAGCCATGCATCTGAATTGCCCATAAAACCGTGTTGTAATAGTACTGGTTTTAATAGCAACCGTTTTCTGACATAAGGATTAACAATACGTATGACTGTCAAGACATAACCGTCGACTGTCTGGACATAATGTGTTTCCGATTGAAAACCACGTGATTTAATAATTTCTGACTAAAATATTATGAATTATATTTTTTTACATTTTAATAAATAATTAATTATTTCAACAACAAAAACAATAAAACAAATAAAACAAATAAATAGGACTATTAGTAATAGTAGTTATTTTTGTTGCTAGAAATTATGATATATATTTAGATATGTAATACATTAATAGTTTAGCTATACTTACGGTATTGCGATCGATGTCCAGATTGAATGTCAACCAGCGGTCAATGTATTGCCAAACGGGCAAAAAATATAGTGATATTACTAACACAAACTCTACTAACACTATATACGCCAAAATTTTTTTTAATTTACAACTTTTTTTAACATTTTTATTATTTTTATTAAATGGACTATTTTTTACAATTTTAGGTGACATTTAATTTTAATTGAATTAAAAATGAGTAGATAATAGGATAAAAACAAAATAAAATATTTTTTTCAATAATAAAAATAGACTCTAATTAGATTTTTAAAAAAAAATTAAGACATAAATAGATAAATATACAGGTAATCATAATATTTTGTACAATTATATGTAATTAAAATGTTTATGTAAACATATAAAGTCAATATTAATAAAATAATTTTTGAATATAATTAACTAAATTTAATACTGTAGTATTTTCAGTAATTAATTTAAAAATAAATGTTGACTTTAATTAATTAATTTTTTACTACAACTAACATTTATATTTTTTATACAGTATATAATCTATGAACAATATAAAGGTAATGTAATTAAATTCAAATAGCTTTATTAACATACAGTATATATTATACTGTAAATGTATAAATAATTAAATATATGTACAATATTAATATAGATTTATATATATATATATATATAACAATATAAACAATCATTAATATTAATTTTATTGATTTAAGTTACAATTTTCATATGTCATATTAAAATCTATTAAAAACATTAAATTATTAAATAAAAATAAATAAAATATTCAGAATCACTATAATTATAATAATTAATTAATATTTGTCTAACAAGTCGAGCACCCGTACATTTACATACTGTCCAGCACCGGTACCCATTACAAGTTCCAAATGATTCCAGGTGCTATCAGGTACTAAATAGTCGTCCAATAATTTAACTAATATTTTTTTTAAAAAAATAAGTAAATAGATAATCATTTAAAAAAATGATTACTTTAAACATGACATATAAATATTTATATAATGATTTATATAATAGTTAAAAAAAACTATATCCAAACCTTTTAGATGATCTTTCAATAGTCGGACGTCGTCGAGATGATTGACCCAATCGTTGGCCGCATAGATGAGCGCAATGTCGGTCGAGTTTAAGGCTTCCATATCGTAGGCCAACGGTACGGATGAATTATACCGGCGCTCATTGTCCCGCGAGTACCAGTGATTGTATCGTTCGGGACGGTTAGCTCTGGACAACTGTAGCACATGAGCGGTATTCCAGCTACTGGCGCCGGACGGTATGTTTGATATGTAGATCCCTGTCCTTGTCTATTGTTAAAACAAACAAACAATCATAGATAATTAATATGCAAAATTTTTTAAGTATCTTTTAGGTATATTAATCAAAAAATTTTTTATTATTATTATTATTATTACATACCATATTCCATTGAGAACTTTGAAAGCCAAACATCAAATAGAATATCCGATGACAGACTACCTGAGCCCAGTAGGCAGTGTCGCATAGTTTGGCATAAAATTTCAATGGTCTATCAATTAATAGAAATGAGAACTCAAATCTCCTATTTATTTATTGTATTTTTAAAAAATAAATTATAAAAATTTATTAATTAGTATTATATAATAGTAAGCACTTTTAGGTGTATATTCACCTGAGAAGCGGGTAGACATACTGTCCTAAATTGAGCAACAATGATGTTGCATTGCCTAAATAGACAACAGGAGATATGGCAATAAATGGCTTAATAGTGTTTGTATAGTGCGGTTGTGTTGCCAGCAATGCGAACATCATATAGTTTCCCTGTGAATGGCCAATATAACCAATTTGATCTAGGATGATTTACATACATAAATAAAATAATAATTTTTAAAAAATTATATTAAATTTTAGTACTATTTAATCTTTCATCAGTTAATGTTAATATAGTATTAAAAATAAATTACTTATTAATTACTATTATATTTTAATTACTAATTAATAATAAATTAGTTTACAAATGAATTTGATTGAATTAATTAAAGTTTGTTTGTTTTTATAATTGGATATAGTGGTACATTATTATTTTAATTACTGTATTGCAAAAATATATTACTTTTGAGAAAACATACTGTATTTTATCATTTTTATAAAATTATTGATTATAAATAGTATAATATAATACAATATTTATAATGTATTATATATATATATATATATATATATATATATATATATATATATATATGTATTATATGTAATGTAAGTTATGCTTAATAATTATATTCATATTAATACCTTTTTTTGTTTGTTTTTTGATATACTCTATCATTGCCGGCAAATCGTATTCAATCATCTCATCGATAGAAAAACGCCAAAACTTTGAGTCTATAATAATTATAATAATAAATAATTATTTAAAAAATATTTCTTTAAAAAATATTTTCCATAAACTTTCAATTTAAAAATAAAAAACTAAGTTAATTACCATCACTTGATAAGTGTATGTGATTTAATGAGTACCGATTTCCACGCATATTAGCCAACCAAACATCATAGCCATTGGCGGCCAAAAAAAATCCTAAACTATTGCCCACTTTGTTGTGACTATTGTTTGTCGTTGGTATCCAATCTTCCACATACCCTCTTTCACCGGTCAACTGTCCCATTGATGCTATAAGCCATATGTCTGAATTGCATATAAATCCGTGTTGTAATAGTACTGGTTTTAATAGCAACCGCTTTTTGACATAAGGATTAACAATACGTATGACTGTCAAGACATAACCGTCGGCTGTCTCGACATAATGTGTTTCCGATTGAAAACCACGTGATTTAATAATATCTGACTAAAATATTATGAATATTTTATTTTTACTTTTTAATTTAATAATTAAAATAAATACTACTAGTTTAACCCGCGCAACATGTATAGCCGTGCAATTCTTTTACTAATTTTATAATATTCATCATAAGTAATTTTAATGAGACTTAATTTGTTTATACAACTACTACATAGCCTAATGTAACAAAACTACTGAACCAATACACATTAATTCGACTAAACTTTTGAGAAATTTTAGTTTTTATATATATTTAAATAATTTTAATAAAAATTGAAAATTTTATCATTTTTGCGAAAAAAATTTACAAAAATTTAGCACAGGTAGCTTACCTCCCGGTGCCCTATGACTCATATAATATAGCAAAATTGAGTAACACAACATCTGCCTACCTGAGTCTAAAACCTACCAGTGCTCAATAATTATTTAAAATTTCTCATAGAAATAACATTGCTTTCAATAAAAATTGAAAATTTTAATACAAATTGAAAATTTTTGTATTTGAGAAAAATTTACAAAAATTTAGCACAGGTAGCTTACCTCCCGGTGCCCTATGACTCATATAATATAGCAAAATTGAGTAACACAACATCTGCCTACCTGAGTCTAAAACCTACCAGTGCTCAACAATTATTTAAAATTTCTCATAGAAATAACATTGCTTTCAATAAAAATTGAAAATTTTAATACAAATTGAAAATTTTTGTATTTGAGAAAATTTTACAAAAATATAGCACAGGTAGCTTACCTCCCGGTGCCATGAGACTCATATAATATAGCAATATGTTATTACACAACACCTGCCTACCTGTCCCTAAAACCTACCTGAGCTCAATAATCATTTAAAATTTCCCATAGAAATAACATTGCTTTAAATAAAAATTGAAAATATAACAATAGATTTTTAGATTTGAATTAAAATATGGTTGTTGGTGAAATGTGCACGCATACATACAGACAGACAAAACTATTATATTAAATTATAGATATGTATTAGTCAATTATTGAACAATAACAACAACAAAAATTAAAGTGACAAAAAAATATGACTAATAGTGATAGTAGTTATTTTTGTTGTTATAAATTGAGATATATATTGATATATATAATAATTTATTAGTTTATCTATACTAACGGTATTGCGATCGATGTCCAGATTGAATGTCAACCAGCGGTCAATGTATTGCCAAACGGGCAAAAAATATAGAGATATTACTAACACAAACACTACTAACACTATATACGCCAAACATTTTATAAATTTTCTACTATTTTTAACATTATTATTATTATTAAATTTAATATTTTTTACAATATTAGGTGACATTGAATTATAAATGAATAGAAAAATAGATAATAAGATAAAATCAAAACAAAATAAAATATTTTTTTTACATTAATAAAAATAGACTTTACTTAGATTTTTTTAAAATTAAGACATAGTTAAATTGATATACAGATAAATGTAATTTTTTATAATGATATGTAATAAAAATTTTCATTATAAAATATATATTATACTGTACATGTATAAATAATTAAATATATGAAAAAATATATATAATTGATACAGTATTATATAAAAATAGAAACAATCATTAATATATCATTGATTTACTTTATACATAATATAAAGGTAATGTAATTAACCTCAAATAGTATTTGCTTTAGTAATATATATTTATATATATTATAATATACATTATATGTATATCGATAAATAATTCAATATAAGTACTATATATATATATTGGATATTATATAACAATATAAACAAATCATTAATATTAATATTTATTTATTTAAAAATAATTACAATTTTATTATGTCATTTTAAGGTCAACTAAAAAAGCATTAAATTATTAAATAAAAATAAATAAAATACAAAAAAATCATTATAAAATTTTAATCATTAACTTTAATATTTGGCTAACAAATCGAGTACCCGTACATTTACATACTGTCCAGCACCGGTACCCATTAGAAGTTCCATATGATTCCAGGTGCTATCGGGTACTAAATAGTCGTCCAACAATTTAACTAAAATTATTTTTTAAAAATAAGTAAATAGATAATTATTTTAAAAATTGTTACTTTAAATATAATATATAAATAGTTATATAATAGTTAAAAAAAACTATAGCCAAACCTTTTAGATGATCTTTTAATAGGCGGACGTCGTCGACATGATTGAGCCAATCGTTGGCCGTATAGATGAGCGCAATATCGGTCGAGTTTATGGCTTCCATATCGTAGGCTAGCGGTACGTCTGAGTTATACTGGCGCTCATTGTCCCGGGAGTCCCAGTGATTGTATCGTTCGGGACGGTTAGATCGGGATGACTGTAACAAATGGGCAGCATTCCAGCTACTAGAGCCTGACGGTATGTTTGATATGTAGACCCCTGTCCTTGTCTATTGATCAACAAATAAACAGGCATAAATAATTGGCATGCTAAATTTTTTTGAGTACATTGTAGTTATATTAATCAAATTATTATTATTACATACCATATTCCATTGAGAACTTTGGAAGCCAAGTAGCAAATAGAATATACGATGACAGACTACCTGAGCCCAGTAGGTAGTGTCGCATAGTTTGGCATAAAATTTCAATGGTCTCTCAACTAAAAGAAATGATGTCTCGGATCTCCTATTTATTTATTATTATTATTTTACAAAAAAGTTATAAAAAATTATTAATTAGTTATACTTTCTTTTATGTTGATATTCATATATTCACCTGAGAAGCGGGTAAACATACTGTCCTAATTTGACCAACAATGATGTTGCATTGCCCATATAGGGAACGGGAGATATGGCAATAAATGGCTTAATAGTGTCTGAATAGTGCGGTTGTGTTGCCAACAACGAGAACATCATGTAAGTGCCCTGGGAATGGCCAATATAGCCAATTTCATCTAGGATGATTTACATACATAAATAAAATAACAATTTTTAAAAAAATTATTAAATGTTATTACTGTTTCATCAGTTAATGTTAAATTAGGATTAAAAATAAATAATTTAATTAATAAATAAAATTAGTTAACATATGAAAGTTTGTTTGTTTTTATAATTGGATATAATGTTACATAATTTTAAATTAATGTATTGCAAAAAATACTATATTTTATAATTTTTACATAATTATAGTTTATATGTAATATAATGTAAAACAATATTTTTAAGGTAGTAATAGCTTTAAGCCATTAATTTGTTAAGTATAATAAAATTATTAATTATTAATTGCATTATAAAATAAGTTAATAGTTTTTAAATATCTTTTTTTTTAATATAAACTTTTTATACATTTTAAAAAATATTTCTGTTTTGTTTAAATAGTTATTACATAATAATTCAAATATTATGTAATTATATTCATATATTAATACCTTTTTTTGTTTGTTTTTTGATATACTCTATCATTGCCGGCAAATCGTATTCAATCATCTCATCGATAGAAAAACGCCAAAACTCTGTGTCTATACAATAAAATAATAATAAAATTGTTAAAAAAATATTTCCGGTAAACTTTCTATTAAATATATACTGATAATTACCATCACTTATATAGCTCGTATGATTTAGTGAATACCGATTTCCACGCATATTAGCCAACCAAACATCGTAGCCATTGGCGGCCAAAACAAATCCCAAACTATTGCCCACTTTGTTGTGGCCATTGTTTGTCGCGGTCATCCAATCTTCTACATACCGGCCTTCTCGGGTCAACTGTCCCATTGATGCTATAAGCCATGTATCGGAACTGCATTGAAAGCCGTGTTGTAATAGTATTGGTTTTAATAGCAACCGATTTCTGACATAAGGATTAACAATACGGATGACCGTCAAGTGATAACCGTCGGCTGTCTCGACATAATGTGTTTCCGATTGAAAACCACGTGATTTAACAATTTCTGACTAAAATATTATGAATATTTTTTTTACTTTTTAATAAATAATTTCAGACTTATTATTAGTTTTTGTTTAGTATATAAAACAAAAACAAAAAAGTTTTTTTTAATTATTATTATTATAATTATATATTTATAGTTATAGTTTTAAAAAATTATTTGTATTCTAATAAAAGCTGAATATATATATAATTCTAATAACTTTTAATTAACTAATAATTTTTTGTTTTAGTTTTGAAAAATATTTTACTAATAATAATACTGTTTTAATAATGTTGCGGGACTTACGGTATTGCGATCGATGTCCAAATTGAATGTCAACCAGTGGTCAATGTGTTGCCAAACGGGCAAAAAATATAGCGATATTATGGCCGCAAATACAGCCAACACTGTATACGCCCGACTTCTGGCCACTGATTTACCACTGTTTTCAATAACATTTTTATTGATAACAATTTTTCTATTAGTTTTATTACTATTAATTTTTGATGACATTTGAAATAAAAAATAAATTAAAATTAACTTTAAAAAAAAAATTAAAAATAACAAAATTATATAATAAAATTAATAAAATATTGAATTTGATTTTTTTTAAACTTTAACATCAAAAATGTTTATATAAAATAATTGAACATTGTCACTTTAGAAAATATATAATATTTGATAATATATATATATATATATAGTATATAATTGATTATACATTGATAAATATTGTGATAAAATTGATACACTATGATATAGTAAACTTTCTACTGCATTAACAAAAAAATAATAATTTTAAATTATAAATAGTATATTTATTTATACAGTATACTGAATATTGAACTTAATATTTATTATAAATATTATTAGATTATTATTATTATTACTACTGCAGTATATTATTAGTATTATTATAATTATTAATACATTGAACAAACAGGATATACAATTGTCTACAGTTTTTTTCAAAATACAATTTTTTTGCATTAATAAAATTAGCTATAAATAAATACAGTATTTTTAATGAATACTGTTAATACAGTATTATTATTATTATTATTATTATTATTATTGATATTGTAAGTTATAAATTATAATAAATATAACTATTAAATTTACAAAATTTATTATTATTTATTTATTAAAATAATATTTACAAATACAATGTAAAATTTAATAAAAAATAGCTTTTAAAATATTAATATATATAATATATATATAAATTTATTGACTACTAGTATATACATTATTATTATTATTTACTCTAATTTATATTACATTTTTAAGTACTTTTAAGATATTTTGTTATAAATAATACTAATAATAGTAATAATAATATCAATAATTAAATCAATTTAAACTACATTATATAGCATATATTTATCATTAAATAATTATAGTAATAATAATTTAGACATTGAAAATAATATACAGTCAAATCAGATTGACTTAATTTATTCATATGGCATTGAATTTTGAAATATAATAAGTAATAAAAAACAGGACCTAAACAACTATTTTTATTTTTAAAAAAATATATATTAATATACAGTACATGTACAGTACATGTGTATATTTATGTATAGCTATTGATTTAGTTTATTAATAATAATAAATATTTTTAAAGTAGATAACATACTACATGTATATATTCAACAAACTTTATTGCTTAACATAATTATTGCAATATCAAGGATAGTGTGTGTGTGTGTGTGTGTGTRTGTGTGTGTGTGTGTGTGTGTTTGTATGTGTTTGTAGTGTTTGTATGTATTTATATATGTGTGTGTATGTATCTGTATTTATGTGTGTATGTATGTATGTGTCTGATATTGAGGAAAAATTGTCAAAAATTTTTGTTTTAACAATAGCTATTATACTGTATCAATATATAATATAATCTGAAATATGATATAAATTTCTAAATAGATTATTTTATGCTATTTATTTTGTAAGTGATTTACAATAACTAATTACAGAAATACTAATATAATATAGATTAAATTTATTTGATATATTTTTAACTTAAAAGAATATTTATATTTGTAAAATATAAAATAACTATAACTGTAAATATATTGTTTATATTTAAATGATCTTGTATAATATCACAATACTATTATATTTATAATATAAATTTATAAATAAATATTAAACAATTAATACTGTATATATATAAATGATATAATTATAATAGTTAGCTAATATTATATTTAAGTATTTATTATTATTATATTAAAATATAACAAATTAAAAACTTTAATTAATTATATTAATAATATGAAACACTTGTTTACATACACTACAGACAATGGGCTGCTTTTATAATCCTATTTGTGGTCTAATGATACAATATTTAATTTTACATAGACTTATATCTATATTTACTTTTATTTTGTATCAGGGTTAAGCAAATTAATAGTAGTAGTATTATATATATATATATATATATATATATATTGATAGATTAAAGATATTTTAACCTAATTTAAAATTTTGACATCCAAACTCTGACCCAATTTTTAATTTTAAAATTTGTTTTTGATAATTATAAAATTTTCCACATAAACAACACACACACACACAATACATTGATTATAATTTTATATCCCACCCTCACACCCCCACTTAAAATAAATATAACTTTTTGTTTAAAGACTATTTAGATATAAAATTGATTTTATTTAAATAATAAGATAATAGATTTACTGTATATACTATATATATATTAATATATAATTAAATTGATAAATACACAACAAATATCAATACAATTATTTAGATAATATATCTAAAATTTAATATAACTTAAAATCAGTAGTAATCTTAAAAATATACGTTTTATTAATAATATTTTTTTTTTAAAAAACTTTTAAAAAATTAATTTATATTAAATATTTATAGAAAAACAGTTATAAACATAACATTATTATATACTGTATTTATGGACAATTATGTAATTATTAATACTATATTAGTCTATTATATTTCATTTTATGAAATTACAAAAATATATAATTAAAAAAAATTAAAATACAAATTTAATTAAACAAATAACAATATTTGTGTGTGTATGTATGTGTGTGTGTGTGTGTGTGTATGTGTGTGTGTGTGTGTGTATGTGTGAGTATGTGTGTGTGTATATGTGAGTATATGTGAGTATGTGTGTGTGTATGTGTATGTGTGTGTGTGTATGTGTGTGTGTGTATGTGTGTGTATGTGTGTGTGTATGTTTGTTTGTATGTGTGTGTATGTGTGAGTATGTGTGTGTGTGTGTGTTTGTGTGTGTGTGTGTGTGTGTGTGTGTGTGTGTATGTGTGTGTGTGTGAAACAGTATACATGTATACAAAACATTTGCTTTGAGAATATAAATTTATTTAATCTTTTTCTTTTAAAAAATAAATAAATAACAATTAATTAATTATTTTCATTGACAGTATTGACAATCCAATCAATCTGATTGTATATCCGAGCAAAAAGCATTTGAGCGGTCGGTTTATCCTTACAATCACTATTAGTTCCGCCGGAATATATGCCAATTAGTACCGCCCGACGACTACCATCATTGGCGGTCACATATTGAATCAATGGACCACCAGAATCACCCTGGTAGGTTTTTTTTAATTAATTAATAGATAAATAAATAAGTTTTGCATTTTAAATATATATATGTTATATAAAAAATATATACAGGTATATGTTATCTACAAATAATTTTTAAAATTATAAAATATAATATATAAATATTAGTGTATATACAGTATATACTGTATATAAGTGTATACAAGTGTTTTTTATTAAAAAAATAAACAAACTATATACAATACTTTATATATATATATATATATCAGGGGGTTTCTAAAGGATCTTGATTTCATGGGGGGGGGTATAGGGTGGGGTAAATTGGCAAAAAGCTCGAAAAAGTTTGGGTGAATAGTTTTTATTGCATTTTTAAACGACAATTTTTGCCAAATTTGATTAAATTCCCACTAAATTCCCACTAAATTCACACTAAATTCCCTATAAATTTTCAATAGATAAAAATATTCCTAACTTAATTTCTCAATACTCCACCCCCTTTAGTAACCCTGATATATATATATATATGTAAATAAGTTTTTAAATAAATAAAATTTTTGAAATTACCTGGCATAAATTAGTGCCACTTTGACTCGGATATTTCATAGCGAAAATTGCATTGTATAGATAGGGCTGTATTATCAACCAACCCATTCTCAATGGGCCATCATTTTCGGTACCTTCACGTATAAAGCCGTAACCGGCATATAATCCCAGTTCTCCTCTACGGTTAATACCGTCATCTCGGCCGCCATTGTCGGGCAAACAAATTGAATTTACAGTATAATAACCATCATGTTTGGCCCATTCGACTATTCCCGGTTCGGCCAGTTTTATGAGTGCCAAATCAAACTGAACCCGTCTTTCACTATCATCCGAACCTATTGATCTATAGTCGGGATGTATGAACCTCTTGTCCATACTATACGTATGGCTATTGTCTCGTCTATCCTGAACAGTGCGCACTGTTATAGTATAAGCAGGACTTATCCCACCAAACAAACAAACAATTATATTCATTGAAAATTTATTAATTGATAATAAATAATAAATATTAATTATATATAATAATAATAGTCTATAAACTGGGTATTTAGAGATAAAAATTGGAAATTTCTAGTAAATTTCTTTAGGAATATACAGTATTTCTAAAATATTATTATTATTATTACAATCCATAATATATACTGGTAACTTTATAACATAAATAATATATATCTATAAACTAGACTATTTTAGAAATTAATATCATATATAAATATAGGTTTTTTTAATTTTATTTTTAAAAAAAAAATTCAGTTATATATTTTTTAGTTTTTAGTAATCTAAATAATAGATTAATTATTTACTTTCAACATATTATATTAAAAATACTAGTAATAATAATAATAATTTTTAGTTATTATTTATAATTATAATTTTCATGATATACAAGATAACTAAAATATATTTAAAAAAAACTAACTAAAAATTAACATTGAAATCACAAAAGACAGTAAGTTTCCTAAAGAAATTTTTTTATTATTTTAGAAATTTTTCATATTTTTTTCTTTGAAAACTCAAACAATTATATATATATATTAAAATATTTTTAAACATATATTTATTTATTTTTATACTCAAGACAATGGGCAGCCGTTAAAATCCATTTGTGGTTTAGTATAATACCATTACAGTATAATCTATAAATATAAATATATATATGTTTTTAATTTGTTATAATTAATTAATTTATATTTATTATAATTTTAAAATTAAAAGTATTTTAATTTAATTATTATTTTTATTTTTAATTTGACTCCGTTAGATAATAATTTGTTATATATATATATATATACTAGTATATACGAGTATATATTGTATATAATATATATAAATAAACATTATAAAGTTAACACATTATAAAGTTTATTGACTAACATTGATAAATATAAATTTATTTTATTGAATAATATACTGTATATATATATTATAGACCTGAATGTCCGTATGAAACCTAGAAAATAGTTATAATTCTCATAATAGACAATCCATGGCCACTCTCCCGGTTTAGCTAACCGTCCGTTTTGTACACTACTAGTGATCACATTGGATGACCAATTGAAACACTGACCGGTAGTCAACAGTGATTGTCTGCCGATACCACACGTGTCGAGCGTTACGTTCGGGTATTGTTTGATACCTGAGTGCAAACCATTTACCACCACTACTACTGTTACTATTAATACTATTATTGATATTAAATTAGATAATAATTTATAAGTTGTTAACATTTTCATTGTTTTTTCAAAAATGTTTTTAAACATTAATTGCTTAACAGATTCACTATAATATAATAATGAATATGAATATAGTTATAAATTTTATATTATCATATTATATTAAAATTAAGCTTTAAATTTATTATATTTTTATAAAAATATATTATAAAATAAGAGAAAACTATTAAATAACAGTTAATTTTATTAAATAATGCATTAAGTTATTGAATTACAAGTAATATAAAATTATTAATTAATAATGTTATAAGTAAAACAATATAATATAATCATAAATTGTTAAAGTTATAGAAATCTAAACAAATATAAATTATTAAATAAATTTCTAACTATTAATAAAATTAAAACTAAACTAATTTATAAAATAATATTACTAATTATCATAGTATATAATTAACATTAAAATTAAAATAAAATTAATATTTATAAAATACAATCGCATACATAATCTGTTATGCAATTACTATATTATTATAATTGTATTTATATATTAGGGCAATTAAATAGCAAACAAACAAATTAATATCAATAATAAAGTATTATCTTTACGTTATACTAACTTGTAATACAAAATGTGTGTGTTTGTTTGTATATGTGTGTATGTGTATGTGTGTACTTTCTATAGTTAATAAAATCAATTAATAAATTTAGGAAAAAATATCTATAAAACTAATTATTTTCAACAGTTTTGACAATCCATTTGATTTTTGTGGACACACGCGTGAAATACATTTGACTATACAATTCATTGGTTAGACACGTGTTACTGTGCGCGCCGGCACTGATACCGATAAGTACCGCCTTTTCTTCATAGCCTAAACGTATACCCCCTGCGTATTGGATCAATGGTCCACCAGAGTCACCCTTTATATAGATATATATGATATATATTTTTGAAAATTTTAAATATAACATATATATATAACACAAAACAAACATCTATTTGTTAATTAATATATATTAACATGTATGTATATATATATATATAACTGTTTCAGTATAACTTAAACCAAATCAACACTAATTAATTAAACACTAAATAATTATAGAAAACAAAAAAACTATAATTTTCATATGGGAGGGGAAAACACAATTTAACGGTAATCTATGTCTGCTATTGTTTTTTGTGTTTTGGTTTAGCTTACAGTGAAACAATTATATACAATATATCAATGCATACAAACTAACATCACATAATCCAGTTCCTATCTGAGTGGGATATCTATGAGCCTTAATAACAGTACCGTAACGATCCTTAAGTATATGTCTATGAATTTTTATCCAACCCATCCTAAGTGGTCCATCATTTTGGACAAAATTATCGGTATCACCAAAACCGGCAAACAATGCCAATTCGTCCCGATTGTTGGCTATGTTTTCGTTGGTCAAACAAATACCGTTTACCGTATAGTAGCCGCCGTCACTGTTGAGGGTCATCATCTGAATACCTGGCGATTGCAATCTGATTAGTGCAATATCATATTGTAATCGTCTACTCGGAGTATCTGAACGATCATACTGGGGAAATATAAACCAATTGCTAGCCAAATATGAATGACCAGGGTGACGCCAATTTTGTACAGTGTGTACAGTATAGGTATAATTTTCACTGATTTTTTTTGGGGGGGGGTGGGGGTAGGTTACAATTTTTTTTAATAAATAATTTTATATATATTTAATAAATATAACCCTGATATAAAAATATATAAATATTATATATATATCAGGGTTAAGCAAAATTTTGGATTTTTGGGGTGGACTGGTAGACTGGGGTGAAATTTACAAAATTCTTGAAAAATCTTGGGGGTATAGGGGGTATAAATTTTTATTGTATTAAAAATCCAAAATCAAGGGGGTCAAAATTAAAAGAAAATTCCATAAAAATTCCTTAAATTCCCGAATATTCCCATTTAAATTCATGTAAGTTTGTTGGGGGGGGGTAAAATCCCAATTTCTCGATCTTAGGGGAGGGTATTTTGGCCTAACCTCACCCCTACCCCTTACTTAACCCTGATATATATATATATATATATATATATTTTGGTTACAAAACAAACAAAATCATCATATATTATAATCAATAATAATTATTGAATTACATCATACAATGCGCTGCCGTTATAACCCATAGTTGATTCAATATAACACCACTACATACGTGTCTGTATAAGAAAAAAATATTTGAGTGTTAAATAAACAAAAATTTTTAACAATAAAACATGAATTCAATTAATAAATTACTTGGATCTATAAAACGGATTCGTTAAATATCTTAAACCACTGATATAGACAACCCATGGCCACTCTCCCGGATCGGCTAACCGTCCGTATTGTATACTATTACTAGTAGTTGAGTTTGCATTGAATTCCCAACGGAGACACTGACCGGTAGTCAACAGCGATTGTCTGCCGATACCACACGTGTCTAGTGTTACGTTCGGATAGTGTTTGATATGTGAATGAAAACCATTTACTACTAACACTACTACTGATACTATAACTATTGATAGTGAAAACAATAGTATTTTATTATAAGTTGCAAACATTTTGTTTGATTTTATTTTGTTTTCTAAACTAAAAAATTAAATGATATTTTATTTACTTAAACAAACTATTTATTATGTTTTATGTGTTTAAATAATTCTTAAAACCTATACCGGTATATACCAGTATACAGTATTTTTATTATTATATATTAAAAATTTATACTCAAATATCATTATTTTATTTATCAAATAACTGTATCAATAAAATATGAGATAAATATATAATAATAAAAAATTAATTTTTAACTAAAGAGTAAATATCCGCATTTGATTGAATTTTTAATATAAATAATGTATATGAATCAGGGTTGCTAAAGGGGGGGTAGGGTAGGGTAAGAGCTCTTACCCCCCCTGAGATGGAGAAATTTTGGCTTTTATCCCCCCCCTGGCCTGAAGCCAAAAAGTTAGGGGCCCCCTATAAATTTTATAACTGTAAAATTTTATATTAGACAAAATAATAAATATTAAATTAGTTTTAATATAAATTAATAGCTTATGTATAGAAAATAAATAGATAAAAATACTTAATTACATCAATTTCACATTATTTACACTAGTAGGGGCACTCCACAAGCTAAAAAATAAATTCCCACCAATTTTCAAAAAATAATGATATTTTATTTAATTTTTTAGCTGTTTATAAAGGATAATATATATTTTATTTCTTATTAATAGTCGAAAACTTAAATTTTTAGCATAAATTTTAAAATAATTATATTTTAATATTTTTAAACTTTATATTAAAATGTGTTAGTTATGTGCTTTAAAAATAATAATTATGATATTAACTAAATATTACATAAATAGAGTTGGGGCATTCCACAAGGGAAAAAATCTCCCTAATAAATTCCCACCAATTTAAAAAAATGAAATATATTTTATTTTATTTTTTAGCTCTTTATAAATGATAATATATATATATTATTTCATATTAAAAGTAGAAAACAAATTTTTAGCATAAATTTTAAAATTATTATATTTTAATATTTTTAGACTTTATATTAAAATGTGTTAGCTATGGTTCAATATGATATACTATATGTAGTTATATTTTTAATTTAATTATTAAGAGTTAATTTATAATTATTTCTTACAATATTATTATTATTATTAAGACATAATTATAAATACAGTACTATATCATTGATTTTTTAATTAATAACAATTTTTAAAAAACTAATTAATTGTATTTTCAATTAATTATCACAATTAAAAAGTTATATATATTTATTCATTTCTTTATTTTTCTAATTTTTGTAAAAATGAATATTAATTTTAGAAAACATTGAGTATTGAGAAATTAAGTTTGTAATATTTTTAGTAGTTAATTTATAGATAATTTAGTGAGAACTTATTGAGAATTTATAGGGAATTAATGGGAATTTAGTATGAATTAATAAGGAATTTAGTGGAAATTTAGTGTGAATTTATTGGGAATTTAATGGAAATTTAGTGTAAATTTAGTGGGAATTTAGTGGGAATTTAGTGGGAATTTAGTGGGAATTTATTGGGAATTTATTGGGAATTTAATGAGAATTTAATGGGAATTTAATGAGAATTTAATGGGAATTTATTGGGAATTTACTCAAATTTGGCAAAAATTGTCGTTTAAAAATGCAATAAAAATGTTCACCCCACCCTATACCACCCTAGCTTTTTTGAGATTTTTGCCATTTTACCCTACCCTATACCCCCCCCCCCCCCCCTGAAATCGAAAACCTTTAGCAACCCTGATATGAATATAGTTATAAATTTTATATTATAATATTATAATAAAATTAAGTTTTAAATTTGTTATATTTAAAAAAAATATATTTTATAAAATAACAGAAAACTATTAAATAACAGTTAATTTTATTAAATGATACCTTAATTTATTAAATTACAAGTAATATAAAGTTATTAATTAATAATGTTATAAGTAAAACAATATATAATAATATAATCATAAATTGTTAAAGTCATAGAAATCTAAACAAATATAAAATATTAATTAAATTTCTAACTATTAATAAAATTAAAACTAAACTAATTTATAAAATAATATTACTAATTATCATAGTATATAATTATCATTAAAAATTAGATTAAATTAATAATCATAAAATACAATCGCATACATAATCTGTTATACAATTACTGTATTATTATAATTGTATTTATATATATTATAGCAATTAAATAGCAAACAAACAAATTAATATCAATAATAAAGTATTATATTATCCTTACGTTATACTAATTTGTATTACAAATTATGTTTGTATATATATATATATGTTTGGGTGTGTGTTTGTATGTATGTGTGTGTGTGTGTGTGTGTTTGTATGTGTGTGTATATATGTGTTTTTCTGTGTATGTGTGTATATATGTATGTGTGCGTGTATATATCTGTTTGTATGTATGTGTGTGTGTATGTATATTTATTTGTATGTATGTATGTATGTTTGTTTGTTTGTTTGTTTGTTTGTTTGTGTGTGTGTGTGTGTGTGTGTGTGTGTGTACTTTCCTATAGTTAATAAAATCAATTAATAAATTTAGGAAAAAATATCTATAAAACTAATTATTTTCAACAGTATTGACAATCCATTTGACTTTTGTGGCCACACGCGCGAAAAACATTTGCCCAGACCAGTCTTCGACTAGACACGTGTTAGTTTGGGCGCCAGCATTGATACCGATAAGTACGGCCTTTTCTTCATAGCCTAAACGTCTACCCCCTGCGTATTGGATCAATGGTCCACCAGAGTCACCCTTTATATATACATGTATAATATTTTTATTTTTATTTTTGATAATTTTAAATATAACATATATATATAACTGTTTCAGTAAAACTTAAACCAAAACAATAATGGCCACCACACACACACACACACACACACACAATGATACCCTATATCGCACAGTAGTCCATGTATATGCGCGCAATATTATTAGATATAATGCTTAGGGTAGGGGCGGACTTTATACACATTTTTGTCTGTATATTACCGTATGTACGCGCATATAGCCCACTCTAGTAGGTTTTTTAAGAAATAAAAATCAACTTTTTGTGTGTGGTCTGTAACTCACATAAACCCCCTTTACTGGGGTTATATGTAAAGTCGTGGGGATAGGAAACGATAGGGGGGGGATGGTTCAAAATAGTGTTTCAAAAAAATTCAATAGTTGGACTATTTGTGAATTCATTCAAATCAAACTTTTGATTTATGACTGTAACTCACACATATATATACGTAGTTTTAGATATAGCCCCGGATGCCTTAGGGGGGGTTATATGCGCGTACGGACGGTAAGTGTAATCTATGTGTGCTTTTGATGCGTTTTCTATTTTGTTTTGGTTTAGGTTGTATACTGAGACAGTTATATGCTATATATTGTATTATACTATATATATATATATACAAACTAACATTACATAAGCCAGCTCCTGTCTGAACGGGATATCTCATTGCCCTAATAACACTACCGTATGGATTATGTAGTATATGTCTGTAGATTTTTACCCAACCCATCCTAAGCGGTCCATCATTTTCGACAAAATTATCGGTATCACCGAAACCGGCAAACAATGCCAACTCTTCCACTTTGTTGGCCATGTTTGCGTAGGTCAAACAAATACTGTTTACCGTATAGTAGCCGTCACTGTTTAGGGTCATCTGAATACCCGGCGGTTTCAATTTGACTAATGCAATATCGTGCTGAAAAATTCTAACCGATTCGTATCCAACTTCATAGTCGGGATATAAATAAAAATTGCTTATTTGGTATGAATGACCAGGGTGACGCCAATTTTGTACAGTTTTTACAGTATAGTTGTAATTTTCACTGAATTTTTATTTTGGAGGGGGGGAGGTTACAATTTTTTTTAATTAATAATTTAATATATAAATATATATATTTTTGTTTAGGGGTGGTACACATCTTACGTTCGCACTTGAGGGGAGGGGGGTTGGCCAAAGCAAACTTTTGCCAACGAAGGGGAGGGGAAGGGTAGAGATTTTTAAAAACGTTCGCATTTAAATAATATTTTATTTCTTGTAGTGGGGGTGATGTGGTAATGTGAAAGTAATTTTTTATACTGACTACATGCAAGCAATTGTGAATATAGGGGAGAGAGGGGGTCTAGATTACTTAAAAAAGTGCGAACGTAATATGTGGACAGCCCCTTACAAAACAAACAATTACAAAAAATCATAATTAATAATAATAAAAATTGAATAATTACAGCATACAATGCGCTGCCGTTATAATCCATAGTTGATTCAATATAACACCACCACATATTTGTCTGTATATAAAATATTTATTTAATAAATTTTATTTTATTTTTTTTTTGTATAATAGGATTACTGTATTATTAATTATGGTATTATATTACATATACCCATAACATATAATTATAGTTAAAATTATATATATATGATATAACTATTGTAATAATATTTTTTTAATGATACATAATATCATAATATAATAATAAATAATACACTACTTTACAAATAGGATATCTATATGAAAAAAATAACATAATATAATTATAGTTTTTATTAATAATTTTACTATTAAAAAAATTTAGTAAAAATAGGATTAATTATTTAGTTTCAATATTATCTACACTAAAAAAATGGGCTGTATTTATATAATAATAATTATTATTATTATTATTTGCAGAGTGAGTTAGTTATCATAATTTATTGTCAAACAATTATATTAGTAATAATAATAATAATAGTTAATAATAAAAATTTATATTTTAATAAACTATTCATTAGAATTTAATTTTAAATTAAGATTAGGGGGTGGTTCATATATTACGTTCGCACTTGAGGGGAAGGGGTTGGCAAAAGCGAACTTTTGCAAACAAGGAGGAGGAGGAGGGGAGGGTAGAGACTTTAAAAACATTCTCATTTAAATAATATCATTTTATTTCTTGTAGTGTTGGGGGAGGGGTTAGCTGTTGGGATATTTTTTAATAAAAAAGTGCAAGCGTAATTTAAGAATCGCCCCTTATATTTTTAAAAAAAATAATATCAAATATAGGTCTATCTATATTATACTACAAATAAATCCTTATAAGCGTTATTATGTAGGTATATATATTGTTAGTATAACTCATCTATTTATGGATGTTATTTATATACAGTTAATTAATTTGTAATTAATTCAAAAAAAACTATAAAATTAAAACTACAAAAATAAACTATATATGCTATAGTATATATACATATGAATGTTAAATAAAGTTAAAAAAATTAAAATAAAATAAATAATACAATTGAAAACTTACTTGGATATATAAAATGGATTCGTAAAATATCGTATACCAGTGATATAGACAACCCATGGCCACTCTCCCGGATCGGCTAACCGTCCGTATTGTATACTACTTGCGTTTGAATTGAATCCCCAACGGAGACACTGGCCGGTAGTCAACAGCGATTGTCTGCCGATACCACACGTCTCTAGTGTTACGTTCGGATAGTGTTGTATTATTGAATGAAAACCATTCACTACTAATACTACTACTGATACTATAACTATTGATAGCGAAAACAATAGTATTTTATTATAAGTTGCAAACATTTTGTTTAATTGTTTGTTTGTTTGACTTTCTTTTTGTTAAACTAAAAAATTAAATGATATTTTTTTTAACTTAATATCACTATTTATTATGTTTTATGTGTTAAAAAAAATTCCTAACCTATACCGGTTTAATACCAGTATTAAATAAAAAATTTATACTCAAATATCATTTAATTTAGTTATCAAATAACTGTTACAATAAAATATGAGATAAATATATAATTATATAAAAAAAACATTAATTTTTAACAAATAATTTTCCTATATTAATTTACTTTACGGTAATATTAAATTACGGTAGACAATAATAAAATATTTGCGTTTTCAATAATATTATACCTTTACATATACATATAATTTACTATTAGTTTGCAAAAACAAACATATTTGAAATTTAATATATCTTTTATTTGAAAAAAATATAATAATAATAATTTTGTTTCTCTAATTATAATAATAATTATTATAATCAATGAATTAAATTAAATATATCAGAATTATTTATAAAACAAATCAGATTTTCATTTAATATAACAAAATTGTACAATATATTATAGTAATTATGATTATCAAAATAAATATTATTGTTTGTTATATAATTAGTAATTAAAAATATACATGCATATTAACTTAATAATTAAAAAAATATATAGTATATTTAAAAAAAACAAAATTATAATCAATAGACAAAACTAATCACTAAAAAAATTATATTAGAAAAAATTGAAACAAATATTTGAATTATTAAGAAATAATTTTTTTTTAAAAATATATTATTATAATATTATAAGTACTGTATTTTTGTTGTTGTTGTATTGACAACAATTAATTATATTTATTTATTGTTAATAATATTTAAATTTATATACTAATGTATTTGTAAAGTATACGTGTTAAATGTGAATTTTATTATGTGTCTATTATAAAAACAAAACAATTAACAACAAAAAAAACCTTAAATTTTTTTCCCTTAATTTCTATTGACAGTATCGACAATCCAGTCGACATGTTTGGATACCCGATTGAAATACATTAGACCATCATATCTACTGGTTAGACACATTTGATCGGGATTTTTATCAATAGCTAGGTTTATACCGATCAGTACGGCTCGACCACCGTTATCAGCACCGGTATTATGAGTACGACCGTCACCACCACTATCACCAGCCGTCACATATTGAATCAATGGACCGCCAGAATCACCCTGAACATATATGAATATATATATATATATATATATATATATATAAATTGTATACTCAATCAAACTTTATTAAACAATGTATTTACAATAATATATTAATAATATAATTTTTAAGCAATACTATAGTTATTAAATTAATAAAAAAATAAAGTAAAAAATTATTTATCACAATAATTATTATATAGTATAATATAAATATAATTTTTTACTCTAATTTTTATGCTATAATTAAAAATGTATTTATTATTATTTTTTTCAGAAAAAATGTGATTATAAGTTGGTAATAAAAAAATTGAACTATAATAATAACAGTAGATAATATATATGCAGTATATTGTTTGTTTACCCCCTCCCCTCCCCTCTCCTCCCCACACACTTCCACACACACAAAAAAAGCTAACTGACCTGACACAACCCTGTTGCTTTTGAATTGGGAAATCTATAGGCGCGTATAGTATAGCCGTACGGATGAAATGCTAGATACTTGCGTATCATTAGCCAACCCATACGCAGCCGTCCATCACTGTCCACATTATTGTCCAATTTGCCAAAACCGGCTACCAATGCAAGCTCGTAGTTGTTGTTAACCAGATCACGATCGGGCAAACAAATCCCGTTTATCTGGTAATAACCGGCAGCGGCTGCCCGCTGGTAGGGGTCGATCACGATTCCCGGCGATACTAACTTTACTAATGCAATGTCCCAAAGATATTGGTTTTCCGGTCTATTATCAGCAGACGAATAGTTTGGATGTATAAACCATTTGTCTGCACGATAGGTATGGCCAGGTAGTCGCCAATTTTGGACAGTGCTAACAGTTAGACTTAGATCGGGTCTATTTTTTTGAAAAAAGTGTTCAACAATATTTATTTTGTTATTTATTGAATATGCAATTCAATTATATAATTTATACATGATCACTTAATTATGTATTTGTTAGTATTATTATTAGTATTACTATTTATCAAAAATTAATTTTATTATTAAAATTTAATTTACTTAATACAATGGGCAGCCGTTATAATCCATTTGGTGTTTAGTATAATACCCGTACAATCAAAGCTACAATTGTTTTGTGTTTTAATGATGGAAAAATATAATATTAATTTTTATTAAAATATTTTATTTATATAAATAAACTACAAATAAATTTGAAATTAAATTGCTTTACTTAATACAAGTATATGTTTGTAATCTATTACTTGTATTACTTGTAGGCTATATATATATAAACAGATGACATTATGACATACCTGTCTAACTTGAAAATTCCTAACATATATTTTGTTTGCAAAAGATAGACAATCCATGGAAACTCTCCCGGTGTGGCTAACCGTCCGTTTTGTAGACTACTACTAGTGTTCATATTGGATGACCACCGGAGACACTGACCGGTAGTCAACAGTGTTTGTCTTCCGATACCACACGTGTCTAGTGTTACGTTCGGATAGTGTTTGATACGTGAGTGCAAACCATTTACTACAACTACTACTGCTAGTGATACTATTAGTATCGATAGTGTTATCAAATTTAATAATAATTTATAGTTAGTTTCAAACATTTTTTTGAAATTATTTTTAATTTAATATTTTATTTGATTAATTAATTATTGTTAACAAAAACACTTATATACTTATAATGTTTAATGTTAAAAATTTTTAATTTATTATTAAATATTTTGTTATTAAATAAAACACAAATATTACTATTTTGTATTATATACTGTTGCAATAAAATATATCTGTATAATAAAAAAAATAATTTTTACAATTTTGTTTTAAAACTATATATAGTTATAGAAACATTAATGATTGTATAAAATTACATTTTATATTAATATTATAAATTTATTGATAATTTGTAGATAAAATTTATAGACCTTTACATTTATAAATATGATATTTAATATAAAATTAGTTTGTGTACAGTAATGTGTACATTCATAAAGTTAATTTAAAATTAATTATAATAATAAAAAAAATGAAATCTTAATTATTATTATTATTGTTAGCAACAGTTTTGATAATCCAGTCCACGTGTGTTGATACACGTGTAAAATACATGTGACTGTAATGTTCATTAGTTAGGCACGTATTAGTATGTCCGCCAACATTGATACCGATAAGTACGGCCTGGGATGAGTATCCAATACCTGGCACGTACTGTATCAATGGTCCACCACAATCACCCTTAAAATATTAATAATATATATATATAAAACAGTATAATTTATTTTTTTAAAGATAAGTTTATGTATATACTGTATATATATTTAATATATTATAAATATATATAGAAAAATAATTAAATTAAAACATTTATAAACAATAATTAATTTAATTATAAACTTAAATATATAGCTAAAAAATAGTAAAGTATAAAATACCCTAAGAATATCAGTTTGGATTGATTTTTTTTAAATAAAAATAAAATCAGTTTTTAATTATTATTATTATTTAGCTAAAAGCCTATTAACACCTAAACTACAGTATATAATACTATTTAATAATTACAGTATATCAATAGTAGTAATACTACTGTATTATGTATTATATACTAGAAGCTAATTAATTAAAAACAAAATAATTAAAGTTTCAATATATTGATAACTATTATACAATAACTACAACAATAACAAAAAAACCTAACTGACCACACATAAGCCCACTCCTATTTTAGTAGGAAATCTATGGGCACGAATGGTTAGTCCAAATCGATGATAGTCTAGATATTTGTCAATTTTCAACCAACCCATACGTACGGATCCATCATTTCGCCGATGATTATCAATATCGCCGAAACCGGCAAACAATGCCAACTCGTCATCAGTATTGACCAGATCTTTGTCGGGCAAACAAATACCGTTTACTTTGAAATAACCGGCGGTAGTAGTAGTAGTAGTGGCCACCAATGGACTGCTGGTCATTTCGACAATTCCCGGTAACTCTAGTTTTAATAGTGCAATATCGTAGAGAAACTTATGAATTGGTCGATCAGTGGCCTCATAGTCGGGATGTATAAACAAATCGGACACAAAATAGGTATGGTTTGCATGCAATTGATTTTGAACAGTTTGTACAAAATAAGTGTAATCGGAACTTGAAATTTAATTAATTAATTAATTATATATTTATACGAAAAATTAATTAATTAAAAAAATTATTTAAATTAAATTATATATATATATATATATATAATTACTTTACACAATGAGCTGCTGTTAAAATCCATAGTTTGTTTAATATAACTCCACTGCATTGATGTCTTAAAAAAATATTTTTTATAAATATTATTATAAATAAATTTTTATAGTATTATTTTTTTTAAAATATGTTATAATTAGTTACTACATAATAAATAACTACTAAATAATAATATAATATATATATATATATGTATGTATTTATTTACATGTAAATTATAATTAATAATTTTTATCCTACAATATATATAAATATATATTAACATTATAAATATAAAAATAACTAAATAATTTTTAAATATTGTTAAAAATCAAGTTAATAAGCTTAGTGTATATCAATGTAAATATTTATTAGATTTTATAGATTTATTTATTAATTACTATTGTTATGCTATAATAATTTATTTAAATATAACTATTTAAAATATACTGTAATATATAATATTTATGTAAATTAAAAGTTAAATAATAAATTTTATAATTACTTAAAGTTAAAAAAAACTCATTAATTTATATACATTTAAAAAATAAATAATTATTATAATTACACATAAATCTTGAAGTTACCAACAAATTGTTTACGACCGTTAACTGTGGCTATCCATGGAAACTCTCCCGATTCGGGTATCCGTCCATTTTGTAGACTACTAGCTATCATATTGGGCGGCAATTTCAGACACTTTCCACCGCCGCCGCCGCCAGTAGTAGTCATCAACAATGACTGTCTGCCGATACCACACGTGTCTAGTGTTACGTTCGGGTATTGTTTGATACGTGAGTGCAAACCATTCACCACTACTACTACTAATACTAACACTACTATTATCATTGATATCAAAATAAACGATAATTTATTTGTAGTCAACATTTGTTGTTATTAATACAGTATATTTGTTATATATATATAAAAATCTTATGTTAAACAATATTAAAATAATCACATAATTTTCTTATTTCAAATAATTTCAAATAAATTATTTTTGTTTTATTTTTTCATTAAATATTACTCGAATATAACTACTATAAAAAAAGTATTAATTAAAAGATATGATATATAAGAAACTATTTATTATATTAATAGTTTGGAAATAATATTTTTTAAAAATAATTTGATATTTTTATTTTCAATAATTGAATTTTATATTTTCTACTTGTTTTTCAATTTTTTAAATGTTTTATTATAATAGTTTATTTATAAATATTATTTAGACATATTATTAATGTAAAATAAGTTTTAAATAATAAATTAATAATTTACGGTAATAATAATAATAATAAATTAAGTACATTTAATGTATTTTTTAGTTAATATTTATTAAGTTTATTAATATAAATAATAATTAAATTATACAAAATGTAAATGTCTTATCTATTTATTTATTTATTTATAAATAAATATAAAAAATTCTCTAAAATAATTGAACAGTTTATACAACATCTCATTTTTTAGTCGATGATATATTTAATTAAATTAATTACAAAATTAAATTAAATATTTTTAACAACAAGAAAAAAGTTTAATTATATTCAAATTTTGTTTTTGTTTATTAAATTAAAATTGATAATTATTTAAAGTTAAAAATTTATTAATACTATTGTTAACAAAATCAATATTAATTTATTTAGTTTAAACATTTTATTGTTTTTTTTAAATATATTATTGATTGTTGTATTGATTAATATACAGTGATATGTAACAAAAAATAATTTTAATAAATTATTTTATATTATGAAAAATTTAATTAATATATCTATAAGAGGATAGAAATAATTATTTGTTTATATAAATATAATATTAAACTCATATATTATATATTTTTTCATAGTAGTATATATATATATGACATGCATATGATATTAGTTTTTGAAATAATTAGTAATATATTTATTTATAATACATTTTTTTAAATAATTAAATATACAATTATATTTAGTATTGTTTACTTTTGTAAAAATAATTGTTATTATAGCTGAAAATTTATACAGTATTACTTCTAAATCATTTATCTAAATATAGTACAGTATATAAATACAAAAATATTTATTAGTTCAATTACATACTGTAATATAATTTAATTTAATTTATTAAAAATTTATTAATATATAAAAAATATAATAATCTAGTAATAATTATTATATTTAATTTAAATTACAAAATTTTTTATTTAAATAAAACTAGTAAATAAATAACTATTTTAATAACAAATAATAAACTAAATTATGTATTAATTTTTTTAAAATAAATAATTTAATATAATAAATAAATTACTTGATTTTATAAAGTGTTTTACATATACTGTATATATATTTTTAATAAGTATAATAACGAAAATTTTAAATAGCTATTATTTATTAATATCAGTAATTATTGTAATTCATATTATTCAATAAAAATAATAATTATTTAATATTATAATCAAATTTACATTAATAATAATTTTAGTTTTTAACTTAATAATTAACAATATAAAACAAATATAAATATCATTAGTAAATTACATTAATTTTATTTTAATTTTTTAGCAAACTTATAGACCAACAAATAGTAACGACAATATTTTATGATTATCTAAAAAAAATTTAGAAAATAATTTTTTTATATAAAAATTAAATTTCATAATTTTCTAATTAAATACCTGATAAAACATTGTTAACGTCATTACATACATATTTGGTCCGATAGTTAAACCGATTTTGCGATCACTGGACAGTCGTTCAAAATAAGCCATTAGTTTGACTTTGAATCGCATCCGAAACGGGTATCCATTGACTCGCCATTGAATGCGTGACAACAATAGACACATCCCATGGATATTAACAGACAATTTTGCTAAATAGTATTGTATAACAAATAATACACTAAATATACAAACTATAATAAAAATATAAAATACTTTTATAACATAATCTAACGGTACAAATATAATTTGATGTATGACTAACAAACTGATGGGCATTATTGTGATAATTGTTAATAAATATAATAATGAATAATATCTATTAAAATCATTTAGTAATCGACAAAAATTATTATGATTTTTAATAAACAGATTTACGTATTTATAACTTGATTTGTTATTTAAATTAGACAATACTACTGTTGAATTGATTTTATTGATATAAACAAATAAAATATAGTTAAATGATGTTACAGTTGCATAACATATGAAACTATCGATAAGTAATGTATAAAATGATATCATTTGTATCAATTGCCAAACAATTGACTGGAAAAATGTTTTCAATGTATAATATTTATAGATTATTGAGAACCACACTATTGTTATTGTAATAACTATTAAAAAAAATAATATTATATTATTTGAATATATAAATTTATTTATTTATTTTTGAATATATTGAAAAGTTTACTATTAATTATATTGTATTATACTTACTTAATAATAATAAACAAATTGAAACAAATTTGTAAATATAGTAAACAATGCATTTTGTATTTAATATAGTATCATGATTAATTTTTAGATTTAATATCAATTGTTCATGATCAAATTGTCTATTAATTGTTTTGAATAGTTTATACCATGTTTGGCTATGTGATAGATGATAAATTTTAAATAGATAAGCAAAATATATTGCCGGAAACAAGTAAACAATACTATTATATAGATGTATACCACCCATAAAATAGGACATATCATAGAGTATTAGTTGTATATCAATATTAGTGATATTAATCAATAGAAAATTTTTGATAATATCTATTAAAAATGTTAAAAATATTAAATATTCAATAAAATTATGTGCTTTGTTTTGGTAGGATTTTTCATAAAATAAATTAAAAGAATAATTAATTAAAAAATAAACTAATTTTTGATAATTTATTAATTGTAACATTTTATCATTAGTGTTATTATTAAACATTAGAAAATAAAGATATATTTATATTTAATTTGTTTTAAAAACAATTGATTTAAAAAATAGGATTTAATAGATTATTGAAGACATTATAATAAAGTAATTTTGATAATTATTTTATTTATTTTAAATAAAACTATTATACAATTCATTTTATTAATTACAAATAACAAATAAAATTATGTATTATTTATTTATTTTTTTAAATACTTAAATAAATAAATAACTTATAACAACAAAAATGCTAATTTTTAATTAAGTTATTATTATATAATATTATTAATTACTGTAACTCATATTATTCAATAACAAAAAAGATTTTTAAAAAAATATTTATTTAATAATATATCCAAATTCACATTAATAATAATTTTTTAACATTTTTAATTTAATAATTATATATTAAAATATTAACTACAAAATATATCCGATATAATTTTAAAATAATTAAATAATATAAAATAAGTAATAAATATTACTTATTAAGTTAGATAAGTTAACATTTATTTTAATTTTTTAGCAAACTTATAGACCAACAAATAGTAACGACAATATTTTATGATTACCTAAAAAAAAGTTTAGAAAATAGTTTATTTAAAAATAAAAATTAAATTTCATAATTTGCTAATTAAATACCTGATAAAACATTGTTAACGTCATTACATACATATTTGGTCCGATAGTTAAACCGATTTTGCGATCACTGGACAGTCGTTCAAAATAAGCCATTAGTTTGACTTTGAATCGCATCCGAAACGGGTATCCATTGACTCGCCATTGAATGCGTGACAACAATAGACACATCCCATGGATATTAACCGATAGTTTTGCGTAAATGTATTGCATAACAAATAGTACACTAAATAAACAAACTATAATAATAGTATAATATATTTTTATAACATAATCTAACGGTACAAATAAAACTTGATGTAAGGCTAACAAACTGATTGGTATTATTGTCATGAATGTTGATAAATAAAATATTGAATAATATCTATTAAAATCATTCAGTAATCGGCAAAAATTATTGTGATTTTTAAGAAACAAATTTACATATTTATAATTTGATTTGTCATTTAAATTAAACAATACTATAGTTGAGTTGATTTTATTGATATATACAAATAAAATATAGATAAATGCTATCGTAGACGCATAACATATATAACTATCAATAATTAATGTATAAAATGGTATCATTTGTATCAATTGACATACAATTGACTGGAAAAATGTTTTCAATGTATAATATTTATAGATTATTGAGAACCACACTATTGTTAATGTAATAACTATAATACAAAAAAAAATAAATAATATTATACTATTTATTTAACATATGTAAAAGTTTACTATAAATTATACGGTATTATACTTACTTAAAAATGCAAAACAAATTGAAACAAATTTGTAAATATAGTAAACAATGTATTTTGTATTTAATATAGTATCATGATCAATTTTTAGATTTAATATTAATTGTTCATGATTAAATTGTCTATTAATTGTTTTGAATAGTTTATACCATGTTTGGCTATGTGATAAATGAAACATTTTAAATAGATAAGCAAAATATATTGTTAACAATAAGTATATAATAATATCATATAGATGTATACCACCCATAAAGTGGGTCATATCAAACAGTATTAGTTGTATATCAATATTATTGATATTAATTAATAGGCAATATTTGATAAAATCTATTAAAAATGTCAAAAATATAAAATATTCAATAAAATTGTGTGCTTTGTTTTGGTGTGATTTTTCGTAAAACAAATTAAAATAATAATTAATTAAAGTATTAACTAATTTTTGATAATTTATTAATTGTATCATTTTTAA